TTAAAACACTTTATGTGCTTATGAATTAAAAGATATTTCGGGTATACATCAATAAGACGGCAATCAAACAACAGAAACTTCTTTTTAAGGACAGAAAAAGAAATCTTCGGCTATAACATTAACTGTCTCTTCACCGGTCTGTCAAGGTGTAAATCGGCCAGAGTTAGCATGGCCAAGACAAGTCGGGTATAAATCAAACAAAATATTCAAAGACACGGAAAGTGCGTATCATAAATCACCCACGCTTATACACTAAATATCAATATTTGTCTTAAAGACGTTAATAACATAAATATTTTAATATCTACACAAAAATCTGCCAGGTGTTCCACTCTATTCAAAAATATTTACCAGGAAACATTTTTGTTTTCATTGAAATAATCGTTAATTAATAACTAAGCTGGATGATCTATTTATTATCAACATATCCGAAACGGCAAAAATATAAACGACTGCACTGAACTTGTGTCCGTCACAGTGCATGTAATCTGGATTACTGCTAAAATATAATCAACACCGGAAGCGAATTTTATAATCCAATCAGGATTCTTGGAATAAACAAGCTTTAAAAAGTTTCCGGTAAAATGCAAACAAATAATTGCTCTTTTGTAAATTTTTCGTTTAAACCAAGATTTTAAAGTTTATACAATTCATGTACAGAAGACTATCCACATCTGTATACCGATAAATTCCTACTATCAAACGCGCCCACAAACATGGTTAATATCGTTTCATCGCGGCCTCTACTTAGTGTTCTACAACTAATTTTTCCGTGCTTTTAACCAGTTCTTTAACTACAACCAAAGAACTTATCATTAACTTTTGTAATAAAACATATGAAAGTAGTGAAATTAACTATTTTTGGAGTGTAAAACATTCTTTGGATTTTTTAGATAAATTACGTGCTTTTGATGGTCCTTTTGATTCTATTGGCAGTTTTGACTTTTCAACTCTTTACACTATACTTCCACACAATCTTATAAAACAAAAGTTTTCCTATTTAATTGAATGGTTGTTTGGTTTATCTGAAAGCAAATACATTTGCTGCAACTCATTTAAAGTCTTCTTCTTTAATGAGAAAGGTAAATATGTTAGATATTCCTATGGGCACCAGTTGGTCCCCTTTAATAGCAGGTTTGTTCTTATACTGTTATGAATCACAGTTAATGACCAAACTCAGTAAAGACTCGTCTAAATTACATTTTATTGATAAATTCAACAACACTTACCGTTACCTTAATGATATTTTTACAGTAAATGATAAAACATTTTCTAGATATACTGCCGAAATTTACCCCAAGGAACTTCCTTTAAATAGATCAGCTATAAACGGTAATAACTGTCCTTTCCAAGATTTAGATATTTCAGTTTTACATGGGAAACTCTATAATACTAAAATTTACGACAAAAGGGACGATTTTTCGTTCCCTATTGTTAATTTTCCTTTTTTGGACGGTGATTTTCCTTTGGTACCATCTTACAGTGTTATATCACAACTCGTTCGCTATGCTCGTGTCTGTTGTGACGTTTTGGATTTCAATTAACGCAACCTATGTATTACTGGTAAATTATAAAGTCAGGTATTTCGTTTCCACAAATTACTTAAAACCTTTACTAAATTCTTCCATAGACAAAGATTTTGTTTGGAAGTTTGGTTGTACCTGTAGAAAACTTATTTCAAACGGGATAGCACATCTTAATTTTTTACGGAGATGTTGTTTACCGAGCTCTGAAATTTATATACGATCTGGGTAAACTTATCGATCCTTTAAATAAACTTATTCTAAAAGGTTACCAAAACAACACTATAATTTTTTCTTTGAATATTGTTTTTATTGGTACTAATATTGATTTTGTTATCCGTAAATTGAAATCAAACTAAATATTATTTTTATATACTCATGCACATTCATGGCTCTGCAATCCGTCGATACCTGTATCTTGGCATTGCACAAAGTCTTGTTTTTCTCTAAATGTTAATGACGTCTTTACACTAAATTCATTGGATGTTGGATGTGTACTGATTGATGTTTTAGTCTTAGATGCATGATATTTTTTAGTTGTTATTGGCTTTGAACTAGCTGTCAGTAACTGCGAGTACTCTTATATCTGTACTTAGTGTCTTTTTGTTTTGGGGATGTATAAGTACCCTGCCACATCCACTCTGTATTTTTGTTAGATATATTTCTGCTTTGTATCCATCTGATGAGTTAAGCCCTTTTCAACTGATTTTTATAGTTTGTTCTTATGTTGTACTGTTACACCACTGTCCCAAGTTAGGGGAGGGTTGCAATTGGCGCCTTCAAACTAGTTTAACCCCGCCAAATTCTGTATGTGCCTGTACAAAGTCAAGAGCCTGTAATTTAGTGGTTGTCAATTGTTGCTGTATAAAATATTTGTTTTTCGTTCATTATTTTGTACATAAATAAGGCCGTTAGTTTTCTCGTTTGAATTGTTTTACATTTGTCGTTTCGGTGCTTTTTGTAGCTGACAATGCGATATGGGTTTTACTCATTGTTGAAGGCCGTACAGTGACCTATATTTGTTAATGTCTGTGTCATGTGGTATCTTGTGAAGAGTTGTCTCATTGACAATATATCACATCTTATTTTTATATTAACGTCACCACATTCTTTATGTGCCTGTCCCACGTCAGAGATCTTTTATTCTATTGTATCTGTTTTTCGTTTATTGTTTCGTCAAAAATCAGGTTGTTAGTTTTTTGGTTTTTTTTTTCGTTTGAATTGATTTTTTTGACATTTTGTCATGTCGTGGCCTTTCATAGCCATCTATTCGGTATAGGTTTTGATCATTGTTGACGTCCAAACGGTCACATTGGTAATTTTATATAGACGCGTATGCCTACCCGTAAATATCCATTCGAAATATACTTAGGAGTTTTGCAATAAATCATGAGAGAACCATACTTAGCAAGCTTCACGTTTTAAATATGTCTAACGAACCTCGTGTGGTTGTTGGATATGTTCGTAGAATATAAATATATGTCGCATATCATTACATATGTGTTAGTTTACCCATACCAAGTCAGGAACCTTGTACAAGTTTGTTTGTCTCTGCTTGTATCAAACAATTTTAATAGAAGATTCGTTGTCCCTTTTTTAATCTATTCGCAACTGCCCCTACACATCATGATATTTCCACCAATTGTTTTAGTCGAATCGGGTCGATATGGAGCCTGCACTTGTATGTTGTTCAAATCAGCATATTGAATTCATTAATTTTGCATTTTTGTAGTGTTGCAGTCACACTAAAGTATACAAGACACCCTTTTTGTCCATACATTGACCAATTTGTGTTTATAATGATTACCAAATCTAAATTGAGTTGATCCAGAAAAGTGTTTCGAACTCAATATATTGAGATTCCTGTATGATTTGTTTAATTGGTTACACTTGAAAGCGACCGTCTATATTATAGCCTATGCTAATAATATCAAAATATTAACGGAAAACATTGATAAATTGATTGATGGCTGCTGGTGTACGTGTGATATATAATCAACAACATAGAAAATGAATTATTCACACTTCTACTTCTCTTATTCTTCGCGAATCTAAATAGATTCTGACAAGTTGGATAATTCTAAATAAATCATACCTTGGTTAATTTATCGCACATGATTTCCCGCCAAAGCTATTCGGAATACAGAGAGGCAAAATTGTGTGCAGTGTTTTGTAGACAATTGTTTGTCTTTTCGTTGTCATTTATTTTGGTCATGGTATTGCTTCCTTTCAATCGATTTATGGTTTTGGGTTATTGTTGGCACTCTTTCGTATCTTCTCTGTTTTTTTCCCACAAGTTTCCCACTGAAATTTATTTGTACACATATTAAAATCAGTAGTATATTGTGGTAGAATATAGATTTCTGTCACATACGAGTCGAGACGATTGTTTTGTATAAAAATAAGAAGATGTATTATAATTGAAAACGAAACAAACATCTAACAGAGACCAAATGAAGTTCGCAACTATACGTCACCGTGTGGCTTACATCAATGAGCAAAACCATACCTCATAGCAAGTTATAAAAGGCCCCGACATGGTTCAATTTTGCAAATGCACATGTATTACCTGTTTATGTGAAAGGGACACATCAGAGATAATAATCACCATTCAAAACCACTGCATAATCCATAAACTTCAGAAAATACTTTTATTATTATAATTATAGTATTCTCAATATTCATTTAAGAATTCAATGCTTCTTTTTGTAATGTTATTGGGGTGTAAAAGAGTTGACAGAAGAAAATCTTGTATGAAGCGAGGAAGCACTTCATACTGAAAATTATATGTATTTCCCTTCTTAACAAGTCCCCACGGGTGACTGGGTCTTCTTAGCTTCCGACCTGCAGTTAAACTGTTGCAAAAGTGGGAAGTCCGATTGGCTGTGTGGTATAGATAGATACGCAGCCACGTCCGGTCAGAACGGAGACGTTAAATATGATGCTTCGAAGAACCCTTGCGACAACTCTTTGAGATAGTCCTTAGGTGGCCTGTCACAAGGCTAAATTTCTGTCCCTATCCAATTTACCCTCATTTTACAGTGGCAGTCCAAATTTCCCAACCTTCATCCCTGTCGATCCCTATTACATGACTTTCCTCCTGTATATATTGTTAATCGTCCTGAATATGCATGAAATATTTGTCACTGGACGTTAAGCAACCAAAAACCAACCAATGTATTGAAACTCTATTTTGACATCAATACCTGAGGCAAAAACAAATATTACTACACTTAAATGAATTAATACAATACTGTAAACATATAAAATGTACCAAGTTATGAATAAATTATGCGTTCTATTTTCAGAAAAGGAACCATGCCTGAAGATACCCTTGCCTCCTTTGGTAGCAGCAAACGGTTTGAATGCAGGGTCATAGGTTATCCAACACCTCGAATCACGTGGTTGAAAGATGACATGAACATAACAAAAACTGATCGATACAAATTCGATTATTCTGTCGATGGTTATGTTACCATGGAAATAGAAAACGTGACATACGCTGACGTCGGTAGCTACCAATGTTTGGCAGTGAACTCAGAAGGATGGGCTTCGACAACTGCCCTTCTAAAGGTCAAAGGTAAATATTAATCATGAATATCAATAAAAAAGTAGTTTTGAAAGTAATATTTACGATAGAAATGGTAATAATCACGAACTGCAACTCTAATGTAGGAAGATAGGGACAAATTACCCTTCCGGGACAACTGAGTTCACCTTCTGGTTTTTGTGTCGTTCGTAGAGACAAATTACCCTTCGGGGACAACTGAGTTCACTTTCTGGTTTTGGTGTCGTTCGTAGAGACAAATTACCCTTCTGGGACATCTGAGTTCACCTTCTGCTTTTGCTGTCGTTCGTGTTGTTCAATATTCACGTTTTGTTTTCTGTGCAGTGTTTTGATGATCGTTGTTTGTCTATTTTTGTTTGTTCTTTTTGCTATGATTTTGTTTGTCTTTCTTCGCCTTTTTACGAAAAAAACAAGCAAAAACAGACAAAGAAACGTGTTATTAGAAAACCAATTCGAAATGAATTATACACTCTAAATAACTCGTGTTCCTGTATTACACACAAATAGACATTTTCACTGAACTAGTACACATTTTTGTTTAGGGGCCAGCTGAAGCCTTCCTCCGGGTGCGGGATTTTCTCGCTGTGTTGAAGACCCATTGGTGGAGTTCGACTGTTTTTATGCCCCCGTCGTTGCGGAGGGGGCATTAAGTTTTACTCTTGTCCGTCCGTATGTACGTCCGTACGACCCAAAATTGGTTTCCGTTCTCTAACTTTAGATTGCCTCAACCAAATGTTATGAAATTTATACACAATGCTTATTATCACAAAATACAGATCAAGTTTGAATTTTGGTGGCGTCTCTGTAGCCGTTCTAGAGTTATGCCCCTTTACAAATGGAAATATTACTGAATTTTTCGTTGCCGTTCTCCATCTTAAGTTTGCCTCTACCAAATGTTATGAAACCTATACACAATGCTTATAACCACAAAATACAGGTCAAGTTTGAATTTTGGTGGTGTCACTTTAACCGTTCTAGAGTTATGTCCCTTTACAAATGGAAAAATTGCTGATTTTTTTGTTTCTGTTCTCTAACTTAAGGTAGCCTCAACAAATGTTATGAAACTTACACACAATTATGCTTATTACTACAAAATACAGATCAAGTTTGTTTTTTGGGGGGGGCTGTCACTCTTATTGTTCTAGAGTTATGCCCCTTTACAAATTGGTGAATTTTTCGTTTCCGTTCTCTTAACATAAGTTTGCCTCAACCAAATGTTATGAAACTTATACACAATTGTTATGACCACAAAACTCAGATAAAGTACAACTGAGGTTTGAAGTTTGTTTGGATGAACTTCAAAACCATTAATTTCAGCAACTGGGTGAGGTGAGGGGGTAAACTTACCGTTATTATTCAGATATTGTAATTATTATTCACTTTGGAGGTGTTCCATACAACGTTTTTTAGTTTTTAAGTGCCTGCGCCAACGTGACCCAGGATTTTTTTTTATTACAATGTCATTATCACTGTTTTTGCTGTCTAGATCGCCATAATTTTCTCCGGGTCACGTAGTCGCACTCTACTAAATTTTAAGAAACACAGGCCAAAAATCGTAATTTTTCCTACTTTTGGCGTTTTTGATGCCCTTTCACCCCCTCACCTCACCTTGTTGCTGAAATTAATGGTTTTGAAGTTCATCCTAACAAACTTCAAACCTAAGGGAATATTTCAAACTAATAAGTAGCTTATTTTGAAAAATGAGAAAATAGGGGGGCCAAAACGGAGGCTTATCGTACCTTGTCCTTTGGGTAGCGTCACTATTACCGTTTTTCAGTTATGTCCCTTTATAACTTTATATGATAAGACAAGCGGGGGCATCATCTGTGTCCCATGGACACATTCCCCATTTATTTGCTCTTTGGTCGGGTTGTTGACTCTTTGACACATTCCCGATTTCCATTTTCAATTTTATTTAGAGTGAAAAACTTAGAAATGATAAAGAACTCTAAGAGGTAATATAATGTGTTAAACCAGTACAACAATTAAATTATTCTAAAAAATGTATTAAAATTTGTCATTTAATTTTCAATCTTTTTCCAATTTAAGTTTTTCTAAAACTTATAAAGATTCAAACGAATAAAAATAAATTGGGCACTAACTACACTATTAGTAAGAGGTCACTGACAAACAATACATCAGGAAGGTACACGGCAGTTGGGTTTATTTTGCTTAATCTTTGGTTTTCTATGTTGTGTTTGTGGATTGTTGTTCGTCCTTATGACCTTGAGTTGTCTGACTTATTTTAACTTATGGTTTTTGTCATTTTCACTTGTAAACTTCAATGTCATATTTGTAGAAAATCAGCCCCCTATAATATCAACAATAATGATATTTTATCAACTTTTAATGATCTTGTATTATGAGGCCTAGATTTAGCCCCCTTCAAGTCGAACTACGTCATATCAAATCTAAAAACCAATAATAACTACATTCAAACAAATGGAAATAGAAATTATTGATAAAAAATAACTATTTGCTGTGCATAGTGTTGATAGCTTAGAAAAATAATGGTATTCCAGTAAATATCGTATTTCCTGTTTCAATTCATAATAAATTCTCCTGGATTCTAGACAGTTTATGTCTATTTTCTGTAGCTCGACTTCAATCATAATTGACTAGGATCGTCAGTTTTCCTTCAGAAGGTCGGTTATTCTCATCGGGAACTCCGACTTCCTCCACTAATAAAAAAGAAATGACTATCACGAAATAGCACAATAGTACTGGCGTTAAATAGCAAGCAATCAATCAATCTATCCATCTTCTGTATAAGATTGGTCACATCATGTGTCTAAATTTGATTCAATCCTTCATCTAAAAATAAAACTTTAATGTTAGCTAAAATTAAACTGCATAGTAATACAATGTATATCAAGTTAAAATCAAGTTAAAATCTACACTTACATTTCGGGGTTAACAGCATCAATCAGATAATTTCAAAGACGATACTTTATGTGACTCATGCAATCTTTTTTAAGAAGTTCTTTATCGACTTATAATCATTTAATGAACTATTCCTGATAACTGACCTACAATATATGTCTAGTTCTATATCTATACAGTATTTTACAGTTTTACATAACTTGAGAATATCAATTTCGGTGCATGCCCACAACAATTTTGTGTCTAGTTCGCTCCTGGAGCTTAAATGGTGGTAAATTAGTTCATATTGGTAAAAAGGTGCTCCTGAATTTCAATATATTTTAAAGAAAATCTTTGAGAAGAGTATTTAAAGGTTTCTGACGTCCTTGATACGAGTTCGTTCAATTCAAAAAGAGACATAACGTAAATTAACCCATGGAAGTAATATTTAAATATTACTTCCATGATTAACCTGACTGAAACTGCCATTTTGTTAATTTTTACGTATGTGTATCCTATTTATCAAAACAAACAAAATTAATCATCTTCAAATATCGCAGCTTCTACCCCTCCATTTTTTTATTTTTTTTTTGCTGATTTGCTAACGGACAAAATTTTAAACCAGAAGAATTTCAAAGCTGAAAATATAACTTGATACGCATTTTTAGGTAATTATGACAAGAATGGTTTCAAAACAATCTAAATTGTTTCAATCAGAAACCATTAATTTGAAATATTTTTTTACTATAAAAGGGCATAACGCTTGAAAAGAAATTTGTCAATGACTGTTATTAAGGGATATTTTACATATGTAAAAGGATTTTGGGACTAAACAGACTGGATATTATTTTTTTGCTTAAAGAAGAATAATGCACAGTATTTATGATATGGAAACAATTTGTATCATCAAGTCTCTATGCGATTACTTTGTCATTTTTTTTTCAATTTCCATCGAAAAACCTATATGCAAATGCGTTTTGTAAGAAAAGATGAGTGTATGCTATCTTAGCGAACTTTTTCTAAGTTATAAGACACCCACCGAGTCAAATCCGTCCCTTTTTGAATTACCATCTCAGTTGTCAACATATTTGTTCTGATATGAAATATCAACTGTTCATAAAGTTTCAAATCATACGAATTACTATGGTTTTTTTTTCTACTCCCAGGCAAAAATGGAAATAGTCAGCTTTTGCAAAACTTGTACAGATATTGTGTTATTGAAATTTGCTGTTAAATAAATTTGTAAATTAATTTAAATTGAGGAATATATCTCCCTCATGCAAAGCTATAATTCCTTGCCCGGCATTTTTCTTATTTCCTACGAACTGGAAATATAAATACATTGCGAAATTTGCAAATTTTACAAAAACATATTTAACATTTACACAATTTTTATTAAACTTTAAAGTGCAACATGCTTATAAATAATAGAACTTTCTGTTGATAATCATTTACAACATTTTCTCTTTTCAGACGAAAAATCATTTTCGTAAAAATCCACGATAAATATCCACGATTTTGTACTGCTCACATGTACATCACGATATCATACTATGAATTAAGAACTTATATACTTATACACATGAATGACAACTCTAAAATGAAATAGTCAAGGTAAAATAACTTTCGAAAACAATCAAAGACTTTCACTTATTCATTTATTTGCAGGTATAGATACTGACAAGACTGATGACACATTGACAGTCCACAGAATGACTTTCGATCAATCTGGTTCGAGAAAAGATAGCAATAAAAGACCCTTGGTTCTGGTAAACTTAGACAAGACAGAAAGCTTGGATGATTTTCTAAGCATGGATCAAATTAATCGCTCTTTATCGCCGAATGGAATCCGCCAGATATCTATGAAGGCTGTTTCTACTGGGAGTGCTACGGTCGAAGGTGGAATGAGAAAAATCTCCTTTCTTGGTTCTGAACCGAATGAGATTGATATATCAGATGATAATATTACTCCAAATCAAAACATGTTTGAAACCGGACTTCCGTCTCAATGTTTAGACGAAAAAGGTATTGATGACAGTGGAAAAGCACAAAACGTAGATTTAGCTGAAACAGATAGCGGCAATTTTTCGTCGAGTAGTTCCATAAAACAGCAAAATGAAAACAAAGGAGGCAAAATAACGATATCTATCGATGAAGTGAGTGACGACGAAGATCTTCATGCCGGACTGGAAGATACGGTGGAGGAGCTTGCAAGTTTTCTTAAAGCAGACGACGAATTCAACCGCACGAGGAGGTTGACAGGAGACAGTGGAATAGCAGACGATGATTATTCTCCTACGTCATCAGATGAAGATGTAGATCATATGGGAGACAAAAAAAGAGCAACTCGAAAACATTCGGAACAACATAACAAAAAACGTGCTAAAAAAAGTCCTTCCTGTGATGACCTTGTCGATGATCAATTCATAAAAAGTGAAAACCACATAAATAATGAAAAGCTTGAATCGACGACAAACATTTCCAATGATAAGGTGTCTCCATGTGGAATAAATGTTGACCCTTTCGACAACAAAACTTCTTCTAGTACTTCGAAAATGGAAGATCAAAATAGTGTTTCGGAAGTCGACAAACCTTCATACAACATCGACAAAATTGGATATCCAGATAATGACGGCAAAACAGAAACTGATGACAAACCAATATGTGGAAATGAAAGTGAGGTTGAAAGCTTTGTACAAAACACCAAAACTAGATTAATAAATGACAGGTTAAAAAATGGCATCACAAGTCATCAACCAAAACAGAAGCCAAATACAATTGAAGAAAAGAACACTCAATTTGATGCACAAAACATTAACAGCGAGGACGATGGAGAGGATATTTTTCATTCGGACGAAGAAGAACACAAGATACTGGCAGAAATTCGTCCAAACTTACACCTGAAAAAGCAATTATTTGACGAAACCACAAGTAACACGTTTTCGGCTGAAAGTTGGTCAGTTTATGACAGTGGTCATGACTGTACTCTTTCAGAGTCAAATTTTGATGCATTTTCGTACCAGAATGTAGACATTGTAGATGACAGTAAATCTACCAGTAATGATGTTCGTAACAGCATCGGAAAAGATAATATGTGTGATACTGCTGGACAAAATGACATTTCACATATTGACCGAACAGACAACAAAACTGAACAAAATTTGAGTTGTGATGGTAAGATCAACGATGAAAGGAATGAAAAACTGGACCACTGTCAAGAAACAGATTGTAGTAACATCGAAAACACAACTACAGTGGAAAAGGCTTTCAATAAATCGGAGGACATAACATTCGTTAAATCAGCCGAAAACAAAGGAAAAGATAATGTTGATTTTGCCAATGACAATGTTAGCAATGACGGAGAGCACGTGTTTCATTCGGACGACGAAGAGCATCGTATTTTAGCAGAGATTCGTCCAAATTTACATTTGAAGAAACCTTTGTTAGATGAAACTAGGAGTAACACACTTTCTTTGAAGTCGGCAGAGAGCTGGTCCATGTACGAAAGTTTCGATGATTATAGTCTTTCCGAAACAAACTTGGACGCCCTCTCGTATCAAAATATCGATGATGAGAATTTTTTCTTATGTAAATTTGAGGAGAAATCTAGCAAGATTGGTGACCTTACAACTGACAACCGCATTGAAGATATTCAAAATGGAAAAGAATCGGGCTTAAATCAAGAAAATAAAATCAAAGATGAAGATTCTCGCCAATCGCACAAAACCACAGAAAAAGAATCGGATGGCAAAAGTAAAATTTCCGAAAATATTCTTGGATTCAAAATAGAAAGTCAAGCTGATACAGACAAAATCAAAATGGACTCTAATCAATTAAACTGCGACATCGGGGATGAAATACTCGATACTGAAACACGACAAGACAACCCAACCGGTGTGTCCACTTCAAACAATGATGTAAAGGAAAAATTAAAGACAGATATTGATACTGAGGAATCTATCTGTATAGAGAATAAAGGAAATAAATTACTGACGGATAACGATGATGACGAATCGCTGTTAACCAAAGATAAAACCAGCTGGATATTGAACAATTCGGAGATCGACAAATCTGCTTATTCAAACGACAAAGTCCCTAATCTTGTGACAGATAATTGTGTCGAAAAATTTCTTGATACGGATGAGACTGGAGGGATAGTGGCTGATATTGATTTCGACATCACTGAATCTCCTACCAAGAAGACGACACGTGGTTTATTGACGGATAGTGATACATCACTTAAAGGAGAAGGAAACAGTGACGATATTGGCGGACTGGTGGCAGATTTTGATATCAATGAATCTTCTCACAAGGATCCGACAATTGATTTAAATATCGAAGAATCGATCAAGGATCAAATTGGTGAGCTAGTTTATGATACTGATATTGATAAATCTAACAAAGAAAAAGGCATTGGTATTTCGACTGATTTTTATATCGATCAATCTCCTACCAAAGATGAGATTGGTGAACTGGCATCTGATAATGATATTGATGAATTTCCTAATAAGGATAAAAATATTGGTATATTGTCGGATTTTGATATCGATCAATCGCTTATCAAAGAGGTAATTGGTGAGTTGGTGTCTGATATTGATATTGATGAATTTCCTTACAAGGATAAAGCAAGTGGGATATTGTCGGATATAGAAACCAACACATTAAGTATAAAGGATACAATTGATTGCCTAGTGGCTGATATTGATGTTAATGAATCTCCTAACAAAGATAGGGCGGGTGAGCAATTGGTTGATGTTAATATCGACAAATCTCTTTCTATCAAAGACAACAGAATGCAATTATTGGCGGACAATGATATAAGTGTATCTCTTGACACTAAAGGTAAAATGGATGAGTCATTGAGTGAAAAGGATATTGATAATCAATATCAGGGCAGTGACATACTTAAACAGAATGGTCCACCAATAGACAGAAACAAAGATAATAAAACTGAACAGCTTTTTGCTCTGGGAGATGACCAAACGCATGTTGAAGAAAGTAACAAAATCATTCAGGATTATAATGAGAAATTTAGATCACTTGGAAAGCACGAAAACGACAGGTCTTCGAAACATGAAAAGAATGAGAATGATGAATCAGACCTGTTAACAGTTCATCTTAGAGACACACCTTATTCCTCTGACGAATACATTGACGACGAATCTGATGTTTCGGTGGAGGAAATTGAGGAAGAAAGATGTGACATCCTGAAACAACTGGACCTTAGCGCATATGTAATTAATGACGCCTCGAGAAAGAAACAACTTCCAGTTTTGGAAGAAAATACGTCACCAGAACTATCAGACGATAATGATTGTAAAAACGGCGTATCAGATTCAATAATAAACAATACGATTAAAGATGAGGAAATATTTAGCCTCAGTTCGACTGGCAATTCGAAGGCAGACGAAAATATTGAAAAATTCAATATACACAAAAAAAGGAATGATAATAAAGTCAACAAGAGTATCAACAAAAATAGCATGAACGACAACCAAAAATCTAATGATGAAATGAATATATACGACACTAGTGTCAACGAAGAACTAGATCTCGCATGTGACGAGTTTGAGAAAAGACATGGTATCAAAACATTACAACAGCTACATTCAATACCTGCTTACGACGAAGTCAATGATGAAAGTATTGGTCTAGAAAGTTTATCGGATACAAGACCCGCACTACCGAATACTTTATTCATTGGTGATAACCAATCATTGGCGTCCCTTATGGGCCGTATTGCAGCCGAAACAAATACACAACAGAATGCATCCCCACCAGAATTGGAAGATATTGATTTCAATGATTTCGTAAACATACTGGCGGTTGTTCCTGGAAAGGAGGCGCGTATTTTACTGTCACCAATCAGCGAAGAGGGAACCGTTTCCCAAATTGCAGAATCAGTCAATTCTCTAAGCCCAGAGTCTGTGGAAGAACATACCGTTAAGAAACCAAAGAGGCCATCTTTGATTGATCTTACTGTAACAGATACGGATGGAGTTGTGGAACGCATTAACCTTCAAAACATAGATGTCCTTCAAAGTTTTAGCAAGCTTCGTAATTATGATCAACCTATTGAAACTGGAACGGAGCAAATACCACGAATTGTGAAAGGACCAAGTAGCATCACAGCAATCGATGGTGAAGAGATCATTCTTCAATGGACCATTACAGGTAAATATATAGTTTAAAAAATCTCATTGAAAAGTGTGGTAAGGCCAGTATTCCTTTAATTTATTTCATATACTATGTCCATTTAAAAAAAATCTCAATATTTTTCACTGTATATCGATTTACGTGAGAACTTTTGATATAAAAACATAATGGTGTATTTCTTAACATATTACTAAAATCTTACAGACCTAAGGATAGCAAAAAAAAAAAAAAAAATGCTTCGCTGAGCGCAGCCTGATACGACCGCAGTGGTCGAACCCTGAACAGTTGGGGCAAATTTGGACACAATATTCAAGCTTGATACTATCTGAATTTGGATTGTGATCAAATTTTTGACATAATATCGGTTTCTGACACAAAATAAATGTGGTCAAAGATCTTAAAAATCTAATGCTGTGCAATTGAAGATTTCTTCTTGAAACTTTTAAAAATTTTGAAATTTTGAAAATTTTGAAGAAAAAAAAAATATGAACCCTTTTAAAAAAAATTGGAACCCCCCACCCCCTTTCCCCCCAAACTTGTTGAATCCCCTTTTAGCATTAACCATCAAACTCAATTGCAGTCTTTCCTTTGTAGTATGGAACCTTGTATTACAATTTTAGAGAGATCCATACACTTAATCACAAGTTACTGTCTGGAAACTAGAAATAGGCTTTTTTTTAACCATAAAAGCCCATTTAAATACATCATAAAAGTATTAAAATAGAAAATGACATCATAGTCATGGCTAAAATTTAAAAAAAACCTTCATCAGCAATTTTTAATAGTAATATCGAAAAATAAAATTCCTTCATCAGCATTTAAAAGTAACTTCTAAAAATAAATTGACAGCTAGGACTTTGCAACCATAAAAACCCATTTAAATACATCATAAAAGTATTAAAATAGAAAATGACATCATAAGCATGCCTTAAATTAAAACACTTTCATCAGCAACATTAAATAGTAATATCTAAAAATAAAATTCCTTCACATACATAATCATGGCTAAAATTAAATAATGTTTAAAATAGAGAATGACATCATAATCATGCCTAAAATTAAAAAAACCCCATCAGCAACATTAAATAGTAATATCTAAATATAAAAATCCTTCACATACATAATCATGGCTATAATTACATTACCTTTATTAAACATTTTTAAAATAATAACTTCTAAAAATAAATTGACAGCTAATCACCTAAAGACAATACATTTCTTTATAAATAATTTACGAGCAGTGTAAGGGAGGTAATTTGACAATATGTGTTTGAATTACCTCCCTTACACTGCTTTAAAATTAGTTTTTGTACTTAAGTAATTGTCCATTAACCTGGAAACCCTTGTTTATCCTCTTTTTTGCCCCTAATTCCTAAACAGTTTGAGCCATAACCCCACAAAGCAAATTCTTACCACCCCTTTGTGATATGGTAACTTGTGGTATAATTTCAGAGAGATCCATACACCATTTCACAAGTAATTGTCTGGAAACTAGAAAAATGCTTATTTGGGCCCCATTTTGGCGGTCGTATAAAAATTATTTAGCAAATGTTTTCAAATTTGTTACTATAGCAAAAGGGAATAAGAGGGGTATTCGTTACCACAAACAAAATTATATTGACAGTAAAGCTGTGTTTGTCGTTAATATATAACTAATTTAAGTATGTTAAAGATGCAACTTTTTACAAAAACAAGCAAAATTTGTAATTTTGTATCAAAACTGTCATGCTACATATATAGCGTTGAATAGCATCAAGATTTAATTGATATAAGTAAAATTGTTGTAAAGTCTTTTAATGTTATTATTTAAACTCCCTAATATTAAGTTTCCAGTAGGTGTTACAACAAACAATTTGACATCACCAAATAAGTCTTAACACCGAATTTTTATTTACCACGAGAAACACAATTTTTATTCACCAGGAGAAACACAATTTTTATTCACCACGAGAAAAACAATTTGTGTCACATGAGCAGCAGTATCTGCTTATTCTTCAGGGGACACCTGCTATCATCCTCGGTTATTGGTGGTGTTTGTGTTCCTCAGTCTTTAGTTTTTCATGTTGTGTTTTGTAGACTTTGTTTTGTATTTTTGTCGTTCTTCGTTTCTTTCAACTTGTTGGACTCTCTTCGACTGTCTAAAATCGGTAATTTTTCGGAATTTGGGATTTGACCTTATTTATTTACAAATAAACTAAGACATAATATCGACCAAAAATCATATAACACTTGACAATTAAGAATGTATATTATCTCACATGATACTACTTTGGGGGTATTATAGCGAATGCAATCATAATACTTTTTCATTCCTTTTTTTTCAACTGATGTTTTCACAATTTTGATTTCTAAATGGTTACCATAATGTATGCATACAATATATTCAATTTAGAGGTTTTGTGTTTAGGGTTTCCTGAACCAGAAGTTGTTATTTTCAAAGATGGAGAAACATTGGATATATGTGATGGAATAACACTAGAAAATGATAAAAACACGTGGACTCTTCAGATCCCGTATGGTATGAAGGAGGACGCTGGTTTATACGAAATATGTGCCGTTAATTCATCTGGGAATGACATCCTAAAGACCAGGGTTTATGTAAAAAATGCGAAAAATTCACCAGTTAGAGAAGACGAATTTAACAATGATCAAAGGTAAATATTTTTGCAAACATTCTGAATAACTCTTTAATGATTTGCATATCTACAAATACTTTAACACCATTTTAGTGAATACGTCTCCGTGTTTCAACATATAAAACTCGATAATAAATCAGAAGCACAAAAACGCCGTGCTTAGAAACTAGAGGTAGTTGGTACTGCGAGCAAAGCTCACAAAATGATAGCCCGACCCTTGTAAAAGACTATATTTTAAATTATGACCAGGGGTTTAAAAAAAGCGGATACAAGTGTACTATAGTGTTCAAATATGACGAACGCCATGCCCACGCCATCCCAAACTAAACCCAAAACTCATTGAGATGAACAAAATGTAATATGATGTGCAAATGTACATGACGTGAAGAAGATTCTGGGAATTTTACAAAAGTCTGTTCAGACGTTCATGAGCAGTTGCGGATACAAAAGTAAAACAGAAGGACAATCGAACGAGCAGACAAACGGACGGACTCTCCAAATCACTATATTTCGCTCGCCTTATAAAGCGGAGGATATGGGAGTATGTTTAAACCACTGCATGACCTTCACATGATAGGATATATCTTTATTTTTCTTGTTTTTTGCGAATTTCTGCTCTAACACTGTAACACCCGGTTATTGTTAACTTTTCGTCGTTTTAACGAGGTCTTGTTGGGGTTCTTCATTTTTAGCTCACCTGGCCCAAAAGGGCCAAGTGAGCTTTTCTCATCACTTGGCATCCTTCGTCCGTCGTCCGTCGTTAACTTTTACAAAAATCTTCTCCCCTGTAACAACTGGGCCAAAGTTAACTATACTTGGCCACAATCATCATTGGGGTATCTAGTTTAAAAAAATGTGTCTAATGACCCGGCCCACCAACCAAGATGGCCGCCATGGCTAACAATAGAACATAGAGGTAAAATGTAGATTTTGGCTAATATCTCTGAAACCAAAGCATTTAGAGCAAATCTGAAGAGTGTTAAAATTGTTCATCGGGTCAAGATCTATCTGCCCTGAAATTTTCAGACAAATCAGACAAACCGTTGTTGGGTTGCTGTCCCTAAATTTGTAATTTTAGAAAATTTCGCTGTTTTTGGTTATAATCTTGAATATTATTATAGATAGAGATAAACTGTAAACAGCAATAATGTTCAGCAAAGTAAGATCTGCAAATAAGTTAACATGACCAAAATTGTCAATTGACCTCTTAAGGAGTTATTGTCCTTTATAGTCAACTTTTAACAATTTTTCTTAAATTTTTGTAATCTTTTACAAAAATCCTCTCCTCTGAAACAACTAGGCCAAATAAAATCAAACTTGGCCACAGTCATCATTATGGTATTTACAGTACTACCTGTGATATTCTCTGAACAATGGTGGCCATAAAAACTATGTTTAAAAAATGTGTCCGATGACCCCGCTTGCTAACAAAGATAGACGACGTGGCTAAAAATAGAACATATGGGGTAAAATGCAAGTTTTGTCTATTATTCTGATAACAGTTATACATAGAGGAAATCTGAAAAGGGTAAAATTGTTCAGAATGTTGAGCTGTACCAATTGTCTATATGTCAAAACTGTCAGACGATTTCCTGTAGGAGTTATTGCCCTTAAATGACAAATTTTACCACTTTTTTCATTTTTGCTTATTATCTTGAAAACTATAATAGATAGAGAGAAACTTTAAATTTCAAAAATGATCAGAAGGACAAGTTATACAAATAAGTCTCATAGTTGAAATCGTCAGTTGACTCTTTATCAGAGTTATTGTCCTTTGATGACGATTTGTACATTTTTTTGTATTTTTGTCTTATATTTTAAAACTTATAATAGATAGAGACTTGAATAAACAAAAATGATCAGCAAAACAAGATCTACAATTAAGACAAATGGCGAAAATTGTCCGACGACTCCTTATTGGAGTTATTGCCCTTTAGTGACGATTTTAACCATTTTTTTGCGTTTTGCCTTATACGATAAAAACTATAATAGATATTTAGAAACTTAAATAATCAAAAATGAAAAGCAAGACAAGACCTACTAACAAGTCAAATTTTGTTGATATAATTAGTAGGCTGTTACTCTTTATAGGAGTTATTGCCCTTAAATTAGGATTTTTTTTTACCCTCTCGTTTGTGTTTAGAGCAAAAGCTAAATAAGATAGAGAGAAACTAAACAGATTTCAATAATCAGAAATATAAGATAAAAAAACCCAAAGATTTTTGTCATTAATTCTATTCTCGTCTACAATGTTGGAGAGTGTCCTTTGTTGAATATGCATATAGACCAAGGTGAGCGACACAGGCTCTTTAGAGCCTATAGTTTATTTTTTATGCCATTTTTTCTGTTCTTTATTTTCATTTGTCCATTATTCTTTATATTTTAGCACCCCGTTATTCTCCATTCTTCATTTCAGTTTTACCCGTTATTATCTATTCCGTTAACACCAGCTATCCCCTACTGTGTTGCATTAAAGCAACTACTTCGCCTACACATGAACGTTTTTATAAGCGGTTGACATATGTAGTTATTTACTCTTTGAACAATTTAGGGGAGTATGAAATAATTTTTATATGACGTGTCATTTTCTAGAAATCTTTATCCATAAAGTACAAATACAACAGTTGAAATCTGTTCCCTACATATGCTATGTGTGAGTATTTATTTTTCGAACACTGAGAAAACAATTATTTCAAAACTATTGCCAGAAGTTGTAGAAAATTAATTCTGTTTAAATGACAAAGATTTCATTCAAATACATACATAGCCTTTTATAGCTTGCTGTTCGGTGTGAGCCAAGGCTCCGTGTTGAAGACCGTACTTTGACCTATAATGGTTTACTTTTATGAATTTGACTTGGATGGAGGGTTGTCTCATTGGCACTCATACCACATCTTCTTATATCTATATAGAGGTTAAGAAATAAGATAAGGCATTAAGCAATAATTTACTTAAATGTTGGGGAGGCACGCCTTTGGTAAAATAGTGGGGATGTCCCGGGATATAAGGCCCATAAAAAGGTGGGATCTGGGGAAAAAGAAGGAAACAAGTTAGAAGTGGGTAACAATTACAAAATAAAGAAAGATTTGGGAAATAAGAATAACTAAACCAACGGAACGAATGGAAATCAACTGTCATGTTCCTGGCTTAATTATTTTGGTACGCCCGGACATTTCATCAACTTCACGACGAGTTTTTTTACGATTTGAGTATCTATCCATGAGGGTCTTGCACGGTCGATTAAACTGTAACATTTGTCGTTTTTATACATATATAAAGAAGTCTTTCAAATATATCAGTGCTGTCTAATTTAATATTTGGCGGCATTTTCATTTGATCTATTGTTTTTTCTCTCTGATATTTACAATTTTTGCCAAATCTCACGCATTTGCTTCATGAAAAGTTGTCAGCCCTGATATATCCTATTCAAACTGCATGAAATTTCAAGGCGCTTGAGCGCATATTGAGCATGCACCAGCCATTGGTTACATCAAATACAGGGTTTTCAACAAGATAACTTAGTCGAGGACGTATATTCTGAGGGTGGGGAGGGTTCCGGTGGTTGGAACCCTCCCCCCTTTTTTGTTTTACCATCAATGCTTTTGAATGGGAACATATGTTTGGAACCCCCTCTATCCTGGGTTGGAACCCCCTTTTTAAAATGGCTGGATACGCCCCTTGTGTATATTACTGTACACAGTTGGTTTTTAAATCCTTGCTTTCGTGAGATAAATATATCCTGTAATAGACAAGAAATTGAGGATGAATACCATTTCTTGTCAGTCTGTCCATGCTATATATCATTGAAGGACATCTATATACAAAATATTAATAAAAATCTGAATTTCAATTTTATTAAATTGCAGTCAGCTATAACACTGAGGCATATGACCGCACTTTTAAATAGCAGTCTGCCAGTCATTATAAAAATCACCATAAAGTATGTTAATGATTGTTTTTTATTGAGAACATCTGTATAACTTATATTTCTTTTAATATGTATCCTAATTTTTGTTTTTGTTTTTTGTACATGAACTGATGTGTTAACTGTCGATATAGTCCTATTATATAAGACTTCGGAGGTTTCAACATTGATAGTAAAAAAAAAATATCCCATTAAAAATGTTGAATGTAAATGATATGAAACTCCGAAGTCTTCTATTATAGTACTAACTGTCGATACACACATATTTATGGTCTTTTTCCCCCTGTGAAAACCACTGTCACTCTAATATAATTATAGTCAATTTAACTATTGTCAGTTTATTTTCTCAATACTGTATGCCATAACCATTTAATGTAAATGTGTTTGTGCTAATAAATATTGCCTATTGTCTATTGTCTATATTATATCTTTAAAGTACCAAATTACGTTTCTCTCCCCAATCCGCATTATTCCCAAATGCGACAAGAAACTAAGAAATCTCTGAACACGTGACAGTGTCTCTAAACTTAAAGCAACTAACAAGGAGTTAGAAATAATTAAATTAGAGGTGACAAACAAAATAAATAAGAACACACAAGGTTTATCAGAAAGATATATACAAGAATGGTTTACACCACTAAATGAATGTACATGTACAAACTTACTTGTGCACCTGGTAAAGACTAAAGTTTTCAATTTCAGGCATGTCTGCAGATAATTAAATTTTAAATGCATTTTATGTTTCAGAAAAGTAAAAACCTTTTTTGGATTTCAAGATTCTTCTATTTTCATGTTCTCTCTGAAGGTGTCAAAATGATAAAATGTCTAATTTTATAAATACATAAATGCCAAGAAAGTTAGTAAATTAGACTGAATCAGAGTGTAATCACCAGCAATGATCATATTTTTACAGTGAATCAACAACAAATAATTTAACTGCATGATTCGCCTTGTGTTTAGTGTTATGGTTACATAAATGATTCTGTTAAACTTGCTGACTTTTTTATCATGGTAAACAATTCAGCTAGTAGGGCTATAATTAGACTGAATCTCTAAGATTCAGTTGATAGCATCATAAACTTTTCACTTAAAAAATTATAAAAAATTAGAAATTTGAAATACACTTAGCACTAATTTTCTGCAAATTTACGCTTGGTTGTATTTGAGTTAACTATGGTAAATGATTACAATATTTAATTATTTTTTATTTTACCTCACCTGGCCGAAAGGGCCAATTGAGCATATCTCATCACTAAGTTGCATCCATCATCTGTTGTCGTCGTCCTTCTCCTCTGAAATTACTGAACCAAACTAGGCCACAATCATCATTCGGGTATTTAGTTTAAAAAATTAAAAAAAGATGACCCCACCTGCCAACCAAGATGGCCAACATTGCTAAAAATAGAACATAGGGGGTAAAATGCAAGTTTTCTCTATTATTTTGAAAACCGTTATAGAGAAAACCTGACAAGGGCAAAAATGTTCAGAATGTTGAGCTCTACCAATTGTGTATGAAGTCAAAACTGTCAGAGGACTTCTTATAGGTGTTATTGCCCTTAAATGACAAATTTTACCATTTTTTTCATTTTTGTCTTTTATCTTGAAAACTATAATAGATAGACAGAAAGTTTTTGTTGCAAAAATGATCAGCAAGACAAGATCTATGAATAAGTATGAAATGTCAAAATTGTCAGTCAACTCCTAATTAGAGTTATTGTCCTTGGATAATGATTTTTACCAATTTTTAGCATTTTTGCCTTATATCTTAAAAATTGTAATAGATAGAAACTTAATTAAGCAAAAATGATAAGCAAGACAAGATCTACATTTAAGACAATATGGAGGAAATTTTACGACTCCTTATTGGAGTTACTGCCCTTGAATGATTTTGTGTTTTGCCTTATATATGATAAAAATTATAAAAGATAAATAGAAATTTTAGATAACAAAAATGATCAGCAAGGCAAGATCCACAAACAAGTCAAATTTTGCCGATAAAGTTAGTAGACTGTCACTCTTCATAGGAGTGATTGCCCTTAAATGAGGATTTGTTTACCCTCTTTTGTGTTTTGAGCAAAAATTAAGGAAGATAGAGACAAACTTTACAGACAAAATGATCAGCAATATAAGTTCAACAAAAAAGAAATTTTTGTCATGAATTCTAATCTTGTGACTTTGTCTACAATGTTGGAGAGAGTCCATTGTTGATTATGCACATAAACCTAGGTGAGCAACACAGGCTCTTTAGAGCCTCTAGTTAATTTTGTTATTATCTTTACTATATTATATTTTAGGTGCATTTTGCTCTAATCTGAAAACCATAATCGATATAGAGAGAAACTTAAAAATTCTCAAAAAATAAGCTAGATAATTTCTTCTTATATGTCAACTGTTGCATATGGCTGAAATCATCAGTCAACTCCTTATGAGAGTAAATTAAATTTAGCCCTTACAATATGATTTTACCCATATTTTGTGTTTATGGTGAAAACTATAGTAGATAGAAAGAAATTTTAACATCAAAGTTGATCAGCAAGACAAGATCTAAATATAAAATAAGTCAAGTGACTGAATCATTCAGCTTCACCTTATAGTATTTAGTGTCCCTAAATGATGATTTTTGACCAAATTGAGTGTCAGTTAATATTTTGAAAGCAAGTGATACAGAGAGCACAAATGACAAACTGAATGATGAGCACAACAGGATATTGGATCACATATTTTCCATATAAATTCAATAGAAATACTCTTCTTGCATTTTACTAATTTTATGCAAAATGCAAAGTTAGCAATAAAGGCTCCTTGCAGCATCTAGTTTATATTTTTACCAAATGATTTTTGTAGTTTCCCATAGGTAACATGGCTTAACATGAACTTTGCCATAAATATATACAAAAAGGTAGAAATCTTGTAAGCTTAACGCAACTCTTCCTAAAACAATGACATATAATGCAATTTCAATGAAACTTTCATAGAATCTTTCTGACATAATACCAATGGGGATCTTTTCTTATACATTGTATTTTTGATAATTTTGGTTCCTAAATGATGATCTGGATGGGGTTTACAGAATAGAGAATATTGGGCAAAACATATAAAAAAAAAGAGAAAATTTGGCCAAAGAAAAATAGAATAGATGCTAAAATATAAAGAAAAGAGAACATGGGCAAAAAAAAATATAGACAACAGAAAAATAGCCTTAAAAGCTAAAGAATACAGAAATAAAGAGCACCCAATCTAGACCCTCATTTATGGAGCAAAAATAGCACTTTGCCAATAAAAAGTTGCCATATCCATACAATGTTAGAGCAGGGGTAAGCTCTACTGACAGTTTTCCTAGTTATAAATGTTATGTAATATATTATTGTCAGTAAGTTAAATAACTTATGTCTCAAACTAGCTCAAAATATATATATTGCTCCATGTGAATACAACCAAAAGTTTCAAATTGGCAAAAAGAGTTCTGTACTTGCTCCAATATATTTGAGTGAATTGAGCATTTTTGCCTTTTTGTTACACATTCAACATTTAGTAAAATTATCAAAATCTTCATCTTGAGTGAAATTTCAAAAAAAAGTTGCACATTTACCATTACAAAAATGTAGGGTGTTAATTTCGCAATTTGAATGCATTAACTTTTTGTGCATCTATTAAGATGTGCCCTTCATATCAATATTGTTGATTTGTTTAAACTTTTCCTTGGTGAATATTTTTATACATTGTTTTTCGTAATCGTGAAATAAACGAAGATAGCCCATTTGCTAAAGTTTTCACATTTATACAGTTCTTTGTTTTTAAATGACAAAATTAAGAAAAATTTTCATACTTTTGCAACTGGTTTCAAAAAAAAATGTCGAGTAATAGGAGCACATTAGTTGTATACATCATGTACATGTATCGAAATGTACATAAATTTGACAATCACTTATATTGCAGAGAAGAGCAAACTGGTGTCCCAGAATTCCTAAAAACTCCAAGCAATGTGGAAGTCATAGAAGGGGACATTATCCATGTTGAATGTCAGATAACAGGTAAGTGTAACCCCTGTCTGCAGCTGGCAAGGGGTTGATTACTGTAAATTCTGAAATTTTTATGAAGAATTTTATTATTGTGAAAATTGTGACATAATAGATTTTGCCGGAAAAAAACCAAACTCACATTTTAAATTTTGATGCCATGTTTACTACAGAGCATTATTTTCCTGAAATTGAAATAATAAATCATGTTTTTTTGTCCACTGCTCAACAATAACAAAAATAAATGCATGCACAAATTTCTGAATTTTCAGTTCCTTAAAACTAACCTATTTTGCGGCTGTATTTTAGTAAATAATTTTATTTTTATACTCCCTCTTTAAAAAAGTGGGGTAATACTGTTTTACCTCTGTCTGTCTGTCTGTCCGTCCCATGAATATTTTTCGTTGCATTTTTCTCAGGAACTACATCATAAGGATTTCTGAAATTTGGTTTCAGGATTTATATAAGTCAGCTATATGGTGTGAGGTGTTTTCAGATTCATCACTCAACAAATTCCTGTTTACCAAACACTTACATCATTTTACACATGACATCCAGGTAGTTGAAAATTTTCATCACATTTATCTCAGGAACTACATTACAAGGATTTCTGAAATTTGGTTCAGGGTTTATATGAGGCAGCTATACTGTGTGATGTGTTTTCAGATTCATCACTCAACAACTTCCTGTCTACCGAAATATTTGGGCGGGGTTTCATCAGTGAGCAGTAGCTCGCAGTTTCACTTGTTTTGAACAGAACTGGTCACTAATGCAGTTATTTTCTAATCAAAATTTTGTTATTCTGTAATAACTTATGTATAGCTTTTTACTTCCATTAACCAAAAAGAAAAGCTGTCTTTCCTTACAAATTTTGGATACTGATTCAGATATGCATTTGCATTTGCTAACACCCATAGTTATAACAGTCTTTTGGTCAAGTGGTTTCATAGCATGCCATTCAGAATGGTACACAATGGGATCCATTTCCGTACAGCCATGACAGTTCAAAGCAAAGACTTTTAAATACGTGTTTTCAAATTCTGCTTCCGTGTCAAGCATGCAGTTTTTAGGATTAATAACAAAGAAATTAGAATATTGCCAAAATTAAAAAGTATTGTATTTATTGTCACCAGACCTACCTTAAATTTTATGCCCCACCCTATATTTTATGACCTCCCTATTTTTTTCTATTTTCCGTAAGCACTAGTAACTTAACCATGTCTCCCTTAAAAGACTCTAGGTAAATAATGTATGAAATAAAAAGAATCCCAGCCTGCAAATCCCAAATTTAAATAGGATGGAATTTCTACTAACAGTGAATAACAAGTGTTAATCTCAATAATCCAATGTTGAAAATGAAAATGAAAAAATAAAGTTTTAAGTAGTTTTTGTTTGATCTATACCATTGAATAGCTTGATACATACTATATATATTATATATCTTATGTAATGTTTAGATCTAAATAGATCAGACTGGCATAGATATAGTATAGTTTATATTAAAATCAGAGATGATCGAGGAAGATAATCAGTACACAATTTTATGGACTCTTTGATTAAGATCACCAAGATTAAAATTGTGTGATATTTTTCTGTGCATTTTGTCATTCTTCCAAAAGTTAAAAAGGGAGATAACCAAGGCAGATAAGATTTACTATTTGACACATTTGTATCTGCCAAATATCAGATGTGTCTCCAGTTTTTATACCATTTTTGAGTTGATTCCATTGTTTATTTTTATTTTTTGTAAATTGAGAAGTTTGGTGTTTACATGATGTCTGATGTTTGGCATGTGTCTATTGAATTTATTCACGAAGACTTTTGGAGGGGCCTTAGTGTGCAAGTGGTCTAAGAGTCCAACTACTGTATCACTAGCCTGTTAACACTGCGGTTTTGAGTTCAACCCCATACATGGCAGGTGTGTTCATCTCTAATCTGAATTGGCTATTGTTCTCAGTTTTCCTGTGGAAGCTCAGTGGTTCTCTCCTGACAGTCTTGCTTCCTCCACCAATAAAAACTGACTGTCACAAAATAGACAATAGTACTGAAAGTGTCTTTAAACACCAATGAATAAATCAATCTATACTTTAGGTGGCTAAGAGCTTGACATATAGTATATACAGTAAGATCCATGCTGTTTGGCTGTTTGGTTGTGCTGCATAAATATGCATCCACATCAAGATGGAATGGGGACTTTACATCTGATTGCAATTGTTTAGCATAATAATCCCTACTGGTAGAAAAACCTGTTCAATAACTGTTTGATAACTGACTTTATGGTATGGAATTTGCTCATTGCTGAAGGCCATTCAGTGACCTATAATTGCTTAAATCTAAATCATTTGGACTTTGTTAGATAGTGGAAGGACCTTTTTCGGGACGTCGGAATTGGACCTTTATATTTGCGGGAATTCAGGATTAACACCTATTGGGACTCAGGAATTAAAGATTGATTTTCGGGATCTGGGAAAGAATGCTTTATTATTTCTTGAATTTGGGATGACACCCCTTCCTACCCACCCTCATACTTGTCTCATTGGCAACCATACCACATCTCCTTATTATGCCCCATTTATGGGCATTATGTTTTTCGGTATGCGCGTCTGTTCGGTTGTCCGTACGTCCGTCCGTCTGTTCCACTTCAGGTTAAAGTTTTTGGTCAAGGTAGTTTTTGATGAAGTTGGAAGTCCAATCAACTTGAAACTTAGTACACATGTTCCCTATGATATGATCTTTCTAATTTTAATGCCAAATTAGAGTTTTGAACCCAATTTCACGGTCCACTGAACATAGAAATTGATAGTGCGAGTGGGGCATCCTTGTACTATGGACACATTCTTGTTTTTATAGGTGATCCTAGCCCACAGATTGTGTGGTTTAAGAATGGAGAACTGTTCTACCCAGAGGAGAGGGTGGAGATATTACAAGATTCTACAAGGTGCCAACTTATTATACAACAAACAGAACCAGATGATGCTGGAATTTACATGTGTAGAGCCTCTAATTCTGTTGGGGTTAACCAAGTACAGTTCACTGTCTGTGTCACTGATCAGGGTATGGTTTCAACTTTTACTGTAAATTCAGAAGTTTTTGTGATGTTTTTATTATTGGGGAAAATTGCAAAGGGATGGATTTTTCTAAACAAGGAACAAACCTGTGGTTCTTTTCACTAAAATTCTTACGACTAAAGTCGATCATAGTAATACTGAAATGTTCATGACTTACGAGAACTTTTACTCATAAGATTTCTTTGTGAAATGAGCCACATCTACAAATTAATTTACAGGTTAATAAAATAAAAAGAGCTGTAAGGCATAAATCAATGAGACCTGTACAACAACCTGTATTATTCTATTTCTTTTATGAATTTTGGTATGAATATGATTGCAAATGAGACAATATCCACAATGACCATAGGACAAGGATGTAAACAGTTAAAGGTCACTGTACAGCCTTCAACAATAAGCAAAACCCATACAATAAAGAAGTTTTAAGAAAAAGCCTGGGGATTAAAAAACGTGAAACAATTCAAAAGATAATTTTCTTTTTCAACAATCTGTAAATTAATGTGTTCTTCGTCTGAGGTCATGAAAAGGCAAGACAATTTGATGTAATAATTGGATTTTAACAAATTAGATTTGAAAGCAATTGAACCACATATGTTGATAATAAAAAATATAACCAATTTATCAGGGAAAGTATAGATTTGCCAAGAGTTGTAGATAAAATCTATAAAACATGTTAGTTCATTTATATGTTTTGGAGTTTAGTGTGACGTCCATTTTCACTGAACTAGTAAACACTTTTGTTTAGGGGCCAGCTGAAGCCCGCCTCCGGGTGCGGGATTTTCTCGCTGTGTTGAAGACCCATTGGTGGCCTTGGGCTGTTTTCTGCTCTTTGGTCCAGAGCTTCCAAAATTATTTTTAGCCAGCCGGACATTTTATTCATTATCCCAATTTTAATCCCTTAAGGCTAAATAAACAAAAGGCAATTATGGTAATCAGTTGCCGAGTTGGCCATCCCAATGTCAATGATTGACATTAAAAAAAACGATATTAAATTTTCTTTGATTCAAATTCGAAGTTCTGACGTAAACTGTTAAATTGGCAGTGCATCATTCGAAGTGTGCAACATCAGCGTTCTTATATCTGCCTTAGACTCTTTATTTGTGCAACCCGTTGTCAAAAACTTTACTTTCGTTTTAATACCGGATGTTATCTTGACAATGGTAAAACATGGACCAGAGACGGATATGTAAATTCCGTGTACGTTTGCAAAGCGTGAATGAGTGGAAGTAGCTCTTTCTACGTTATTTCTTCTAGAAAATATTTGAAATAAATGTGAGATAAAGGTATCAATGACAATTTAAGCATTTTTTGAAGAAATTAGGATGCATAATTAAATTTCACACCTGCGCACACGTGTACTAGTTCAAACAGAGACATGTCTCTAGGTTCAAACAACGTGGTTATGACGATTTTTCATTTTCACCTTTTTAATTTTTTCATCAAATCATATTTGTAAACGTATTTCTGATAATTTAAATCTTTTTGACTATATTAATTAGATGCAAACCGCTGAAATGTAAGAAAATAACTTTGAATAGACCGATCAATGTCCGGTTCAAAATAGTTTACCTGTCACCTGAACAGGTAAATTTCAGCTGTTTGAGAACTAATTAGCCTTGATTAAAATGAGAAGGTATTAAAGTAGGGTTGTTTTGATAGTACTTAATGATCATGTCACTTTTATGACCGGAAATGTGTGGCTGTTAAAGGCAAAACGTTGGGTCAAAAAGATCGCGAATTATGTTAAAATGAACGTCTCTTAAAGCCTTGAAAACTAAAAAGTAGATGACCGTTTCATGCTTTGCCCAGCCGGACTTTTACCGGACATTATACAAATGTCCGGCATATATGACCGTTTTGGAAGCCTTGCTTTGGTCGGGTTGTTGTCTCTTTGACACATTCTTCATTTCCATTCTCAATTTTAAATCTCTTTACAGCAGAGTCCAGAATTGTTGTATGATTATATACAAATAATAAAGCTTTATTTAGATATGGTATAGTTATCAACTACAAAGCATAAGTTCTAGAAAGCTTTTTACCAAATATACAAGCATATACAACATCACAAAAACACAAAAACACAGTCTTGCAAGCAAACTAAAAATAGAGAAAGCAAACATAAAAGTAAACACAGCACAAACATGATAAATCAAATAACATAAGCAAGCACAACTATAAAAGAGCAAAGTAATTGACATTATATATAAATTAGGCATAGTGAAATAAAATGAAATGAAAACTTATCTTCATACAGAATAGCAACATGCTGAACCATTCAAGGACTGTATAAGACTCTCAAATTGGGAAAAACTCTTCTCCCTCCTGAAATGGTCTGATAGACTGTTCGACAATGTTGAAACAATTTAACTATATAATACGCTATTAATTTTTTTTAACATGTTCTATTGACTTTAAAAAGTGTTATTTCTCTTAAGTTTTATAGTCCTCTATAAAAATGATACTTTAGCTTACTCACAAACATTACATTATATATTTTTTGTATGCCTTATATTTTAAAGGGGATAAGATACAGACAGCTACAGATATTAATAATGACGAAGACAGAGCCATGTGGGATTTGGCGTCTGGTCATGACAAAGTGGACAAACCTACTGCACCTGTTATACAGCTTGATATGTCTGAATCAGATGTATGTTTGTATAAGTACTATAAATACATTAACTGACATGCTCTTGTAATACAGCCTGAACTGTTTGAATATTTTTGTACTTTGTATACTTAATAATTATGGTAAAGTCAGACATTTTTACAAATTGTTTTTATTGCGAAAAATTGTGATGGGATAGCTATAGGAATCAGGAAAATAAAAGTAGCTTTTTAAGTTTCGATAGCAAAATTTGAATGCAGCATGTTCTGTAATTGCACTGATTAATCAAACTTTTTTGTCCATTGTTCAACATTCACAACAACAAAAAAAAAACCTGCCGCATTTTTGCCCCTGTCCCAAGTCAGGAGCCTCTGGCCTTTGTTAGTCTTGTATCATTTTTAATTTTAGTTTCCTGTGTATAATTTGGAGTTTAGTATGAAGTCCATTATCACTGAACTAGTATACATATTTTTTTAGGGGCCAGCTGAAGGACGCCTCCGGGTGCGGGAGTTTCTCGCTGCATTGAAGACCCATTGGTGGTCTTCGGCTGTTGTCTGCTCTATGGTCGGGTTGTTGTCTCTTTGACACATTCCCCATTTCCATTCTCAATTTTATTCAAGAATTTCTGCATTTACAGTATTATTAATTTATTTTCTGGTATTACTATTTGTTTAAGTGGTCTCCTGTATTCATGGTACTTGTTTGTCACAGCATTATTTGTGCGTAGTGTTTTCTTATACCCAACTCCAAGGTTGCTGTGTATACTACTTTTCATCTGTTTGTGTCTGTCCAGTGTCCTTATGTTGACCTATGAAACTTTCTTTCCATTTTTATCTGGAAATACAAAACAGAGCTTCCTGAAATTTGACATCAAACTTCATGTGAGCATGCCTTATCCTGTGATACAATTTTCATCAATTTCCTATTTACCTCAAACTTTAATATTCTTGCATGTGAAGGCCATGTTTGAAATTACATCAGAGCTTCCTAAAATATGTATCAAGCTTTATCATTAGCATTATGCCTTTTCACATTCATTGCTCATTAACTTCCTGGGAATACATAGAGCACTGGTATTATATGTGAGTAATCCCCCCAACACACACACACACCACACACACACACACACCTATTATAACAGATTATTACATTGGTTGCAACGAAATACAGTGATTTGCGAGTTAGATAAAAACTGATAATTTTACATGTGAAATAAATCCGATAATTTCACATTTCTGACATCATTCAACAATTTGAATTGTTAAGAAAGTGTTGATGACTTTACAAAAATAATAAATTGAGAATGAGTAGAAAAAGATATAGTTTCTTGTATTATATTTGATATTTCCATTAAAAAAACCTATGGTCACTGTAATAAAAAGATTAACAAATTGAAGAATTCAAATATCCAAAATTATTCAACTCATGAGCGATAACCATTGTTAGTGCTAAGAGTGTCATTGAATGAATGTGTCGTTCAGTCACTCATTGAATATTTTTCTATATTAGACTTCTTCGATTAGTTATTTTAGAGCTCACCATTTTCAAGCAATATTGAGAAATACTTTTAATTCACTAATATTACTATACAATTATGATAAAGACTCTATTTATACAGGAATGTTTTTCGAGAAGATATGAAGTCATATCTGACTACCATGATGAATTTAATGATATTGACCTGCAGAAAGGGGAGATAATTGAGGTGTTGGACAGATCTAAAGAATCTCATTGGTTGGTCAAATCCATGCAAGAACAAACAAAGGTATATGTTTAAAGAGAAGGGGGTGACATAATTTTGGGATGTGTGATATACGGGGTTAAAAAAGTAGGAATGTTTGATCTTGGAATCCGTTTCTTTGTATAATTATTTTATCTGGGTTTTAATTTGTTGCCAGGGGAGATAACTGTTGCCCAAGTTTGTTCATTTAAGGGGGAGATAACTTGCAGATCGAACAAATTTTACACTATTTTGTGAACTATCAACTGTATTTCTATTACAGCAATAAATCTAAATTACCTCTACCAAAATTGTATCTATAATGCTTGTTTTTTTGTTTTTTTTTTTGTCAATGATTTTTGCCTATTTTAAATAACATTGTTTAATTTTGAACCTCAGAGTTATGACAAATAAGTATGAAAAATCTTGTATTTAAATTTGAGAAGCTATCAACTCTTTTAAAAGTTCTAGGCCTGTTTTGCTATTTGCTATTACTGCAACTGTTTTTTTTTGTGGGGTGGTGGTGATGGGGTGTGACATTCTTCATCAGTACTAAAATTTCAAGTGTGGACTTAAAATATTTAAAAAAAACTATGAAATGGTAATTAGGATTTATTGATTTTACTTAAACTAGTGTCATGTTGAATCATTTTTAGGTATGTTATGCTCCTCCCTACTTGTTGGTTGTCACAGATGTTGACAATGTTGGGAACATACCTGGATGGAATCAAGGTCAAGGGAAAAATTCTGTGTCTAAGGAAGAAATACAAACTAAAACAAAGTAAGCAAAATATAGAAAAAGGAGAAGGTGATTGAGAAACAAATTCTTTAAATTGGAAAAAGCAAAATTAATCTTATAAGAAATTCAACAGATTAATGCCATCCCCTGCTCCGAAGTCTTATAAATAGTAGGCATTATGTTGTCATGATAATACAAAGGCATTATTTTGTTTTAAGCCTTTTTAAATAAAGATCTTTTTCTCAGTCCTTCTATTAGAAATAAAAATATACATTATTTTCTTTGTCATGCCTATAATTGTAAGAAAATGTGTGAGTGGGGACATTATGTTTTCTCATCTGTTCTGTATCAGGTTTAAAGTTTTCAACACTGGTCTCTTTTTGGTAGATTTTAATTTAGATATATTTTAATATGTTTTAGGATCTGTGCGTGATATTCATAACTAGAGATGAATTTTATCTTTGTTTTGTAAACAGATAATTTATTAAAAAATATATAGGTTTTGGTGCCTTTTTGTAATTAAAAAAAAAAGTGTTTGGTAGCACAAATGCTAGCCTCTCCCTTATCAAAAACATAGAATAATCTAGATAAGTACAACAATTATTTAAATAAAAATGCTTCAGTGTATCAATAAAAAGGTATGTTATTATTTTGAACAGAAACAACCATTTTGCTATTTACCAGACAGTAAAATTAAGATTTGATGCCAACAGATATGTAAAGGTTTTATTACTACCATTGTTACTTCCAGAAAAATTTTGACTGATTTATTGGAATCAGAAACAGACTATATTTGTGATCTGAAGGATCTTATAGACACATACAGTCAGTCTCTAGCGAAAGGGAAATTTTCAGACAGGAAAAATATAAAGGAAGGGAAAATCTCAAACAAAAAACCTGTGAATGAAAGAGAAATTGCCATGGAATCAACAGAACAAAAAGACAAAATAGTTGATCAGCTGTCAAAGCTTTACCAGTTTCATAAGGAGTAAGTTAAAAATATTCAGGGGCGGATTCAGGCAGGGGTGTGGCGGGCGAGCGCCCACAAAACTTTGCAAAGCATGGGTTGTCCTCAGCTTAATAAAGAATATTTCGATAATTTTACCTCAAAAATTTTAACTTTGTGCCCCCCTAACTTAAAATCCTGGATCCGCCCTTGATATTTAATTAACATCTTAGAAATTTTCAGATGTTATTGTTTCAGAGATGCTCAGAATTGTAAAAGGCTATTTATCCTGAATTATTTTTCAAGCAATCAGTCAACTTTTGTACAAATAACAGGTACTCAAATAAAATTTTGCTTTACTTGTAATTGTACAAATAAAGTCTCACTGTTACCCCGCTTCCATGTTGAGCAAGCTGTAATGTGAATATTTCTTTTTGGTTGACAGTTCATTTTGGGGTTCTCTTCGCGGTCCGCATTTAAACTATGTTGATTTCTTTGAAATCTGGGTGTAAATTGCAGGACAAAAACAATATATGTACATATATGTCAGAAATAAAAAATCTAATTGTACTTGCTACAAAGCAGGAGAACAGCTAAGCGAGCCTCTCTATTCGTCCTGTTACTAAAGCTCGTACAAATAAATTTTATATTTTCCAACAATGTACATATATTGTATATAAAGAAGAAAAGACAGATGTTTACTGATGTTCTAAACCTGTCAATCTATTTGAAATATACGATCTAAGAGAAAAATGATTAGATAGCATGAACTCCAATGGAATGAGATTGTGTCCGTTGGTCCACATATAAAGCATCTCATGCTATGTATGCATCATCTGCTTACTCTTTGTTGTGTAGTGTATTCAAATGAATATGCTAACATGTTTAACCTTCTGTATGTATGTGCTTGTCCCAAGTCAGGAGCCTGTAATTCAGTGGTTGTCGTTTATGTATACGTATTTGTTTTTCGTTCATTTTTTATACATAAATTAGGCTGTTAGTTTTCTTGTTTGAATTGTTTTACATTGTCATTTCGGGCCTTTTATAGCTGACTGTGCGGTATGGGCTTTGCTCATTGTTGAAGGCCGTACGGTGACCTACAGTTGTTAATTTCTGTGTCATTTGGTCTCTTGTGAAGAGTTGTCTCATTGGCAATTACACCACATCTTCTTTTTTATGTTAGTTATTTTCATATCTTATTTGCTATAAAAGGATAGATCAGAGTCAAATGAAAATATTTTTTTTTAAATCCACATTTATTTATTCAGAACATTGCTGCCGAGCCTTCTAAAAACACAAGATGATGCTGAAAGTGTTGGTGACCTATTTACTGAAAAGGTGAGTATTTCAGATGAATGTCTCATACGGGATATTGGGATAAGGGAGATAACTGAAAGATAAATTATGTTTGAAGTATTGGATGTATAATGCATTTGTACTAGGCCTAGAATATGATTTAAATTGAGTTATCTCCTCTTTACCAGAATGTTTTTTTAACTAAACAATAACTCAGGTGAAAACTATGCTCTATCTCTGTCTGTTTACTCATTACAAGTACGTTATATGTGTGCATGATATGTCAGATACTTAAGTATGAATTAAGTCTCTTGAACATTGGTAGATGCTGCTTCTTTACTAACCATGTGGTATTAAGGAGTAAGAGCAAATAATGGTCAGCTAGGATTCAGAATAATGTGTCCGTGTAGGGTGACATGTCTTCCTGCGGACTGTTGCCTTGTGAACAAACACCCTAAAAATCCTGCCAAGTATATTGATCTAGTATAAAGTAGGGTTCATATTCATATTGCATTAACATGTTCTCTTCCTGAGTATGCATTTAATTTGCTGCTATCATTTTCATCTTCTCTGGATGTCTATTTGATGTAGAACTGGAAGAGTTAGTAAAACCCTAAAAATAGTTTTCAATTGACACAAAATTGAGTTAATTCACTTGGCTGCCACGTTAAGTCTAATGGATGTCATGTAATATAATTAACATAGGGTCAGCAGGCAAATTTTGATAATACCAAGCAACCTTTTATTTAGATTTCAAAAATTCTTAATAATTCTGATAAATTTCTATCAGGGGTTCAAATTAGCGGTGGTCTGAGGTCCGTGACCTTCCACTATTGCAATCGGACTTTCATTTTGGTGACTAGCTACGCCCGACGGACCTTCGATTTGAAAGAAAATAAAAATGAACTTTGCTGACCTTTTTTAACTATCAGTATCGTCATTTCAAAGCCATATTATTATTGTATATCCCTCTAGAGCTTACTTCAAATCATTTCAACTGTCGGCAAATTAAGTTTGTTAATTTATTAGAACGTAATGAAAGATGCCTTAAGTAAATTTGTGATCCATGTATTGCATTAAAAACGTCATTTTCCCTCCCAAATAGCTTCTCAAACATCGTTTATTTTTTGTAATTTTTCTCGTCGGCCATTGAAATATTTGTACAGGATTCATCGGAAACGGGCCAGATATGAACGAAATCCTGATTCTTACGACAATTACTACGGACGCATGAATGGCGCAGCTGGCAGAAGAGAAAGGTGGACAGCTTTTGAGGGAGGTGGGAGACAACAAAAAGGTGGGGGAGAAAAAAAGATTCTAAAAGTGGGAGGTGGGAGATAGGGGGCGGGAAGTGGGAGAAGGGTACCCCCTGTCCACCCATTCAGAAGAATATTGATCCCAAAAGCAAAAATTACGCTTTCCACGCGCATTTAATACTTGATCTACTTGAATAATGTATATATTTTCATGTATATGCATTGTTTCAATTTATTAATTAAAGTTGCTCAACTCTGGGACTATTATTATACTAATATCATTATATTATGTCCTAGCTTAATTTTGTTAAATTTATATATTTTTTTAATGAGAAACACTGAATTTCATAAACATGATAACAGAGTAGTTTTTCAATTGAATTTTAATTGATATAATAACTTTTTTTCCTTTTTGGTATAAAAAAAGTTCTTTTTTTATCAGTGCTAGATATTTAGTTGGTAGTTTCTAACAAGACAACTAATATAATCATTGTGCAACTAGATATGATAAACTTAAACAGCTTTGAATTGGAACTGTTACTTTAATTGTATACTCGGGTATAAATTTAACAACAATATAAAGAAAGATACATATATAGCCCTTTATGTTATAGTTTAAACCAAACATTGTAGCGTCGCGAGCAACTTTGAACACTCCTCTTTCTATGTAGCAACATTCCAGCAGCGCCTGCATACGGAGTATGTATCTCCCAATTGATACGATATTCCCGGGCTTGTATTTCCTATCATGATTTCCTTGATAGAGGATTGCTGCTAACAAAAAAGCTATTAAAGCAAGAGTTCCAAATGGTGAAGTTGAAATCATCTCTTCGTAAATTTTACGGACGGCATCACGAGTTGGTTGACCGTTATGGAATAACCGTTTCACAAATGATATCGGATATGTTCCTTATGTCGTAACTACAGTACCATTCCCTTTTCACGAATGTGACCAACCGAATTAGACTATTTACCGGATTTGTAATAACATAAGTAACACGACGGGTGCCACATGTGGAGCAGGATCTGCTTACCCTTCCGGAGCACCTGAGATCACCCCCAGTTTTTGGTGGGGTACGTGTTACTAAGTCTTTAGTTTTCTATGTTGTGTCATCTGTCCTGTATACTATTATTTGTCTGTTTGTCTTTTTTTTTTTTTGGCCATGGCGTTGTCAGTTTGTTTTCGATCTATGAGTTTGACTATCCCTCTGGTATCTTTCGTCCCTCTTTTCAAATCTCACCACTACTCCCTATCAGTTTCAAAAAGAGAAGTTACTTCTCACTATGATTCTGAAGAGTGTGAGCCCTGAGATTATGGTATAATTGTGAATGATTGAGACAACACAACCACCCACAGTGACACCCTCCCCAATACAAAAAAAAAAAAGGATTATTGGAATTAATAATATACAAGACAAATACATTTATTATCATGGACATGCTATACCACAGTGACACTGACAGTGTAGTGCTTTATGTATATGGTTGCCTGGCAATATATTTGTAAACTTAACAAAACATTACATGCAGTTCTTTAAATATGATGAAACAAGATCAGTATAACCTAACATCAAAAGCACATTAATTTTTTATCTTAGTTACTGAGTTATAAAATATTTCATGTAAAAGTAGGACCTAGGATTTAGGTTGTGGACCTTTCAGTTTGGAGCGTTAAAGGTCCTGGACCTTCCAGTACCAAATGTTGATTTGAACCCCTGTCTATAGGATAATACAACCACCCCGAGAATACTTATTTCTTTTAAATCCACCGTATAATCTGGAAGAACCCTCACAAAAAATGCATTTGAAGATAAAGAATTTTTTTCAGCGTGGAAGTTTCTGTGAGTATGTTCCATTTGTTTCCGACCATGACAAAGCAATGAAGGATACTGACCCAGATCAATTAGCAGCATTGATGGAGGTATGATAGTGTTTGAAATTTTTTTTATCAAATTGATTTTTCTGAAATCATAACTTATAAAGACTAAGTTAGTTAACTATTAGTCAATAAAAAGGATATGTGATTTAAAAGAAAAATAATCTCGATTTGAATGATAATTGTGTCTGTATTTTATATATGGCTATATTCAAACAAGAAAGTACGTAGGGTTTGTGGCAAAATTTTTTTCTGTTTGCAAATAAATTTTTAAAATTCATATCTGTAAAAAAAAAATTCAAAAAATATTTCCATATCAAGGGTAATAATACAAGAAAGAACTGACATTAAAATAATGAAATTATCAAATCTTTTAATACCCACCTACAGAAAATCATGTTGAGTACAACCCCTCTCTTAAAAAGATATTTACAGTAGGAGTGTAGTTTGTAATTAAAATATTATTTTGAGGAATATGCTTATCCTTTATGTTAACTTAGTCTAATTGTTCCCAAAATAGTCTTTTGTTTAGAATTTAATACATCACATTTTGGCATGTAAAATGTGACATGATGTGCTCCTCTTCCTGGAAGCTTTTATTTTCACAAGTTGAACAAAATTTGAAATATCTTAATATATGAATTTTCATATTTGATGAGTTGACCGTGCCTCATAAGTCTTGAGATACCTTCTTATACATACCTTTACCACAAAAAAATAAACTGAGATATAGAATACAAATCTTTCTTAAGATAAAGTAAAGTGTCAATAATATTAATTTGTGTTCACTGTTGTCAAGGCCAAAAAAACAGTATAGTTGTGTTTCCTGTCTCCCTACCTACCCTAATTTTTCATGTCTTCCCTAATACATTTTATGGACATTTTTGGTTATAAGCACTATTAAATTCCAGAACACTTTTGGTAAATCCCCATTTAAGGTCGAGAACATTTCCCTTTATAGTCTGTGTAAATCATTTAAAAATATAAAATTATTTAACCTATCTACCTTAATTCCCTACTATTTCTGCCAGGAAAGGGGAAGCAAGTGTGTATATATATTTATTGTTAAAGATTTAATATATTGTAGGCATTTAGTTTGATCTTGGGTGATCCAGCGAATGCATTTGAAGATTTGATGAACAGACCATTGGAAAGAATTCATGAATATATAGAACTTCTAAAGGTAGGTAGTATAATTTATACAAAATTGTTCAATTTATACATGAGATACTAGACAAAAATAAGTGATTGATTGATTGTTGTTTACAGGTTGTCAATTAGCAAATTTTTCTGCCGAAGTTTTGGGATCTCTCGGGGACTCTGGCTTTCTCCACAAATAAAAACTGGCCGCAACAATATAGCCAATTATGCTGAAAGTGGCATTATAAACCAACAATCATTGAACCATAAGTGACAAAAGGATCTTAGAAGAAGTTTTTTTCCTATTATTATTTTAAGTATTAAAAGAACAAAAGATAAAAATCATACTGTTTAAAGGGTTACAGAACACCTAAGGGAGATAACTGTTTAAAAATCAGCTGAACATTTTAATCAAATACTATTAGTAAAGAGAAATCAAGCTTCTTAATGATCAAAATTAGTGTTTGTATAACAGCTATATATCCAAATTGTAAATTGTGCGGTTCAAATTTCTTGAAATTTTGATATTTTTGTCAACAGGTCAAAGTAAATATTTTGTCTAAATTTTATGAAATTTAAACGAGCCAAATCTATTTTAGTCAAAGTGTTGGGTACCCCCTTTATGAAATGAAGGACCATCAAAGTCTATCAAAGTTATATGTTCTAGTTATAAAGATGCTTTAAGTTATTGGGGATTCTGCAGTAAATAATTTTCAAAGCAGAGACCTGAAAAAAAAGTTCCCCAATATGAACTCTTTCTCAAAATCAAAATTCTTGTGTACTTTGATAATATGTTCATAATGAAATTTGTTTTTACTTTCTGTCAACAGACACTGATTAAACTGACTGCCCAGTCTGGAGGAGATTGTTCAGGGTTGATGGCTGCTGTCCAGATGTTAACGGAGATCTGCAGAACTATGGAAGACATCGTCTTATTGGATAAAATTGAAGGTTACCAAGGTGATGTCAAACAACTAGGACCTGTCCTAAAACATGTAAGTTGAAAAAGAATGGACTTTATTATAGTGATGTTCCAATCATGATTTATAATTGAAAATCCATTGATTTTTGAAAATTTCCAATTATTGATAAAATTTAAAAAAGATTAAATGGTTATTAATTTACAGAAAAATTTGACACCTCTTTTTAAATGCAATAAATGCCTTTAAACATCCATAGAATATCCATTTTGTACATATACACACTATTTTTGGCAAACAGTACTTTGTATTTTTGAATCTGTATGTTCTACTACAATACTGTTCACAATGATGTGTGTTGTTTTAATTACTGTAAATTCAGAAATTCTTGCTAGGCTTTTATTAATGGGAATAATAGGACTTGTTGAGTATTGCAATAATAAGAACTCACATTCTGATATCTGAAACATACATCTGCATTAGAAGCAGATAAATGTTAAAGAGATATAACAAAAATTATCTATATATTTCAATACACTAAATTCAAAAATTATTGCGATTTTTTGATCATTGCAAAAAATTGTGACAGGATATGTTTTGAAAAAAAAACTCCCATTCTAAATTTCAATAGCCTAATTTCTATGCAGCATTTTCTAAAATCGCAATAATTAATCTCCCTTTTTTGTCCATCCTTCAAAAATAGCAATAATAAATGCACACAATAATTTCTGAATTTACAGTATTCAGATTAACCACTTATAATTTTCATGCAAATTCCCTACACTACTTCATACCTCTGCAATTCTTTAATTTGATCAAAGGGAGACAACCTCTTTTTTTCTGACTAACAGTACTGTTGTTTCACCACCCCTGTCAGGTAGTTTGAATTTAGGAATTAAAATTGCGGATTATACAGGAGTTTCTACTGTACTCCCATGATACTGTGACCCAACAACATTAAAATAGAGGTTAATATTTGGTCCTCAACAATAGACGTTAGTGTTCATTGTCAGTAAAGGTGTGTTTAGAATAATTTTTGTGGATTCTTGATTTCGCAGCCTTTTTTTTTTATAAAGTAACTAAAAAGTTGTATTTCATTTAGTATGGGATACAAAAAGGGAGGTCTGACATTTACCATAATTTTCATGGTAAAAGGATCAAAATAAAGTTTTCCTGCTAAATCCTATTTCTCAGTTGCTACTGTGGATTCATTATTATTGATTGGCTACCAATCTCTGTGGATTTTGTGGGTACAGGTGAGCCATGAATTTAAATGTTCAACGAATTACACATTTTCTATAAGGTTGTATGCAGACTTTGGGGATAACCACACAATTAAATATCCATGAAAATTCAAATTTTCCTCAATCCACAAAAACTGGCACCCACGAAAATAAATAAATCCACAGTTTTAGTTTTAGGTTTACTATTTTAGCATTAAATATATACTTTTGTTTAATTTGATAAACAGGAAGACTTGGTCAATGTCATGGAAGACAAAGAATCTGAATCTGAAGGTCACAGACATGTCATACTATTTCCAGACAAGATTATGGTTACCAAGCCAATGACCTCTGATCCAAAAGGAAAGCTAGAATTTGAAAAGATTATAGAGGTAAGAATTTTTATTTATACTGATCTGATGAAAGTGAAATCTTTCAAATACAGATGCATTGCTGTGTTATTTTGTTTGTTATTAAAGAAAGGAATGCTATCATGATCTTAGCGACAGATTTTGAGGGGTGGGGCTGGGGTGTCCGGCTAGTTTAGGGGCCCTAGGATCCCCTTTTTTAAAATCCTGGATCAGCATCTTAAACTTGTAAGGTTTGTTGTACCGACAATTATTTTGCCTGTGACACCATATTAAGGTCATCTTGCCTAAAAGGATAGTTCAAGCTATTACAGCTACTTGTGAACTGTTTCTTTATAACCTTTGAAGCTATATGAAACCCACCTTGGCCATCATGTCATCCCATCAGTTGTCTGGTTTGAAATTTATGTCTGATGTACCCACCAAAAGAGCAAAGAAGCCGATGATACTAAAAATAGAATATAGAAGTAAATTTTATATATTACTACATGGATTCATTATTATTGGATTATAGGTTAGTTCTTGAATCATGTCTTTCACCAGAAAAGATCGTCAATTTCGCACGCCTTTATGCCATGATTTACTAGGTAGGTAAAAGGCATGCCTGTATCCCTGCACTATTAAAGCTTCAAACACTTTCAGAATTGTCATTCTGCAGGGTAGTCTAGAAATAATTTATGTTCCGTAAGTACGTAATCTTAATTCCCATACTACTGAACAGAGGGGGACCAACTTATTAGATTTTCATTTCCCAAATATTTTGTGCAATATAAGATCAAACTTTTTCACCCGTTAGCTCAACATGTGTTGGAAGTGACGATGCCTACATTTTGGTCACGTGGTGATGGAAGTCACATGACAGATTCAACTAACTACCGTATCCCGGAACTGGCATATTATCTATGGATTGTGACAGTCGCAGGCATGTTGTGAATGTATTAGGATTTTGAATTAGTCTATGACATTATGGTAGATTGTTAATTTAAATTCAATTGTCATTCAATTATAGTTAGCATGTGACATGTATATATATATATATGGTGCTGAAGTGTATCAAAGGTGTGAGTTCAAATCCCATTAAGGGACCAAAATTTGTCAGCATAAAAATCTAATTCCAACACTGTTGGGTTTATTTTTCAGACTTATGGGATATCAATTTTTTTAATCTGATTACAGCAAATTCCATTGAGTGTGTAGCCAAAGGTAATATCTTTGGTTAGCTTGCTTGTTAGCTGAACCGTGAAGTCATTGTTAGGTTAGGTAAACTACCCTACTTTAAGAATAGACTAGTCCGACAGAAAACCAATCGATCTGTCTGTTGGACTATGCTACTTCGAAAGGAGGGTAGTATACCTGACCTAATAATGAGTTCACGGTTCAGCTAACAAGCAAGCTAACCAAAGATATTACCTTTGGCTACACACTCAATGGAATCTGCTGTAAAACAGGAATATTGTGGATTATTGTTGTGGGTACCAGTTTTTAGTTGATTAAGGAAAAAATCGTGTTTTCATGGATATTTGATTTTGTGGTTATACAAAAGTCTGCATACAGCCCTATAGACAATTTGTACTTGGTTGAACATTTAAACTTATGGTTCACCTGAATCTGAACATTTTTTATAGCGGGTAATTGTTTCATATGCCCTGACACATTTGCAAACTGTTTAAAATTTTGCAAATGTATCATAACATTTATTGGTATTTAAAAACTCTCCAAGAAATGTAGTCAAAGCTTCACATAAGTTAATATATGATTCGTTTTAATTCAAAGATTATTGCCTGCATTTATTGTTAACATTGTTGAGCAATGGATACAAATTTGAGATTATTTATTACGATTTCAGGAAATTGCTGCATACAAATAAGGCTATTGAAATTTAAAATGGGATTTTTTTTAAAAAAATTTTGAAACATATCCTGTCTCAATTTTTGCATTGATAAAAGAATCGCAAAAATATTGTAATGTTTACGTTATTATTTTCAAAATAAGATATTGTTTACACTAAAAAAATCGCAAAAATTTCTGAATTTTGTGTATTAAAAAATATAGATAATTTCTGTTTTATCTCTTAAACATTTACCTGCTTCTAATGGCATTTTATATTGGTTTCTCTTTATAACTTCACAGTTGGAAAATTATTTTCCTGAATACTTTTTTAATTTTCTGTCCTAATACAATTTTACTGCAGCAAAAGATAACATTAAACCTGTTTTAAAATTTGTAGATTTGAGTTATCTCCCATAGATTATATGTGAAAATGACTTAAATAAATAAAACTTGGTACAAACAACTGGTTGTCCATTTGTAGCAATTTATAGAATAGTTTCCCTGACATTATAATAAAATATAAGTGGAATTTTTTATCAGGACCAAAATAAAAAATCTTATTCCTTGCAATACAAAGAAGGAAATTCATGACCAAATAAGATGTCATTTTTGTGGTGAAATGTGGTTACAATATACTCTAAGTATACAGTTGTGAACTAATTTTTCACTATATCTAGCAGTATATACAACAGATTGACACATGGTTATGATACAGTTGTGAGCTAATTTTTTTGAAACCCAGGTCAATTCTATTTAATTTTATTTTTACACTATTAAAATTATCCAGTTGCGGCAGGGGTATCATCAGTGAGCAGTAGCTCGCATTTTCACTTGTTTATAACTGTTAAAAATATATATAGTGGTGCAATTCTACAATTTAGTTGTGGGATGTTTGTTTTATATCTAGTGGCAAATATTTCATTCATATTTAAAAAATGAAAAATGTATACAATGAATCTTTTATGAAGGTTTTTAAAAAAATGGTCAACTAGGCTGAAGTGCAGAAACTTTGCTGAAGTGTAGAAACTTTGCTGAAGTGCAGAAACTTTGACTGCCACTTGATGATGAGGCCTTGCAATATAATAACTATTGATCCCACATTCAGTAAATTAATGGGTTCTTCTACATGTATGGCAGTCTTCCAATTTTGTGTCTCTGATTCAATATTAACATTTCAACCAGACATTACTATATAAATGTACATCCCACGTAGCCAAATGGATGTATCATCAGAATTGATCTGTATGTATTATGGATACATTATTATTTTTGTATACCAAAATCCCCCCCCCCCCTTTTTTATCCCTGGTTGATCTGTCTGATAGATATCAATTTATTTTTTTGTTGTGGTCTGTTTTTCTAATACTGTATGCAATAGGTCAACTATATTTGGTGTATGGAAATATTTTACGATGTACATGTCAGTCTGGCAGGTTTTATTTGACCTTGACCTCATTTTCATGGTTCATTGCTCAATGTTATGTGTTTGTGTTTTGGTCTGTTTTCTTAAACTTTATAAGCAATATGTCAACTATATTTGGTGTATGGAATGATTGTAAGGTATCATCTGTCCTTCACCTCAATTTCATGGTTCATTGGTCAATGTTCAGTTTTCCTGCTTAACTTTGTTTCTTAGATACTATAAGCAATAGGTCAACTATATTTGATGCATGGCATGATTTTAAGGTGTACAAGTCTGTCTGGCAGGGTTCATCTGACCTTTACCTCATGTTCATGGTTCATTGGCCAATATAAAATTTCCATGGTTTGGTCTGTTTCTTTTATACTATAAGCAATAGGTCATCTATATTCAGTGTATGGAATGATTGTATTAAAGGTGTACATGTATTTCCAGCTTGGTTTATCTGACCTTGACCTCATTTTCTTGGATCGTAAATGTTAATGTGATACTTGTAGTAAAACTTTATATTTAGGACTATCAACATAAAATTAATGGTCAGTATAGTTTGCGAACCATTTCAGCATGTGCACTCTTGTTGACATTAAGGCCTATACTTCCTCAGACCTGTGGCCTCATATGTTGATTAAAAATGTTTTCATTAAAATATTTTTAGGATATTTTATATAGCATAAAGAATGGATGAAAGATTAATTACAATCAGTTAAAATTTGTTTTTGTTTATGTTTTAATTACCTTGGCACACAACTAAGATGATTTACAAGCCAATTTGTTTCTCAGGCATCTTTTAAATTTGTCAGCCAATCAGTTTATGAATGAGCATAACTTAAGATTTCGCTTGAATATTTTGTGAAAAAGAGACAAATATATATACATTCAAAATATAGGTCACTTTAATAAGTTATTGGAAATGCTAGGTTATAAAAACCAAGTGTGTATTTTATATAGATTAAATCTTAGGTGGTATTACTGATAAAACAAAATCTACTTAGGATTTACATAAATTTCAATCATTTATGAAAGTTTTATTTTAATTTTTACATTTGTGTACGTATTTAAAGAAAAAAAATGATTATTGAGATGCAGGATAAAGGTAAAATTGAGAATGGAAACAGGGTATCTGTCCTTTATAATTAAAAAGTGTTTAATGTTGATATACCTTAACCCAATCATGATTTCACTATATCTGATCTCAGTTAAGATAAATAGTATTACACTGTAACCAAATGTTTAGATAATTATGATCTTACTGTATATCAGCATTCCTTATCTCTCTTGCTTGTATGCCAGATTTCCAACAGGTATATCTTGGGATTTGTGTGTGCTACTTTATCTAGGATTCTTGCTGCATGTCTTCAACTATTTCGTAAAATATTTTTGATTCCGCCTTCTTAACTTATTATGTCATAGATATCTATTTTTAAATAGCTAAAAGACTTATCTGTTGGTAAACAAGAAGAAACAGATGGATCATCATGTACTATTGAATTGTGGGAAGACAAATTGTCGGAATTAAGTGCATCACCATCACTGAAGCTACAAGTACAAGATATTCACGCAAAACAAGCTTGGCTGAGAGACATTCGAGAGGCAAAGAAGAAACTAGGTAAGTCTATTGAAATATATATGAGGGGGTAACACACTCTTGGGATGTGGATACTAAGAGGGATATAGCATGTATAGGGGGTAAAAAAAAGTATAGATGTGGGATAAAAGGGATAAAAGAGGGGGATGTGATATATAGGGGAGAAAAGTGGGATTTGATCAAAATAAAGAAAAAAGGGAAAGTGGGGAAATATTATAAAAAAAGCAGATTTGGGAAATGAACACCCCTTTGTCACTCCTTTTATATTAAAGGGTAAAAAGGCACACCATATTTTTTGAAGTTTTGAATTGAAATTAGAAATTTTAAGGTTCTTTTCAATTAAAAGAAATATAGATGAAATATTTGTCTCTCCATAGTTTGATGGATTACTGGAAGAAATGGAACTTAGAATATCCTAACATGTAGAGTGTCAACAATAGATACTATTTTAAATTACCCTTGACTTGTTGCAACCTCCATCTGAGTTCATCCTGTTAAAGTTCATTGACCAGTCAAAGATATAACTCTATAGGGTTATTACAGAAAATAACTTGTGTGTGTTATTACAGATACTTTCATGAGTTGTCTACTCTTTATTCCTTAAATTTTCTAAATCTGTAATAACATATGTTTGTTATTTGTAAAATTATTTCATTTATAGTGGGCTCTAGAGAACTCTTGAGACTTTGGCAGAAACTAAATGCATAGCCTTGATAACTAATTTTTTAATTAAATTAATTCATTTTTGATTAACCATGGTAAATCAATGAGACGAGGCTATTAAGGGATAAACTTAGCTGTGATAACAAGGCTAGGTTATTAAAGGAATGTAACTTATTATACAAGACACTTGGGAATTACTGAGAAACTTGCGCAGAACCTCATTACATGCTCTGGTCATTATTTCTTACAATAAATTAAAATACATTGTAATTAAGCATGATGTATGTCTGAGCAAATGCTTTGAAGTGATATACAGAAGCTGTGATAACACCCTTTAGTTATTACAGGCATATTTTTTCTGTAATAACATATAGGTGTACTATGAAAAATTGGCAAACTATGAACTGTTATATCTTTCAATAGTTAAGTATAAATATAGACAAAAGTAATATCAATAGAACTTTTATACATTTTAACTAAACTAATGATGTATATTGTCCCTTTGAAACATGTAACATACATATGTTATCACAGTTCTTTGATTTTTTAGTCCACAATAACAAATGTATGTTATTTTTCTGTAATAACCCTATAGAGTTATATCCCTGACTGTTGACACTATATAACATGTTCAAGGATAGAATTTTTAACATAAGACTTAAAATGAATTGTTAGTTTTCTCAATTGAATTGTTTCATATTTTTCATATCAGGGACTTTTATATCCGACCATACGGTATGGATTTTTCTCATTGTTGAAGGCCGTATAATTGCATACATCCACTTCATTTGAACTTTGGTTGATAGTTGTCTCATTGGCAATCATAACACATCTCCTTATTTTTATATTGAGATCCTATAGCACTACCTATAACCAAGTACGGCAGAAAGTGATTTTCCCCTGATTATTGTACTGATTTTCCTTGATTTTGTACTGATTTTTGGTGATAAATTTTAAACTATAGTTCTTTTATTTAATTTAAGTAGCTTGAACTAATCAGTTGGTTAAAGATCATTTATTCTGTCTGGTCAGTAGTCATATAGTGCTGTAGTATAATAAAATCAAAACGTTATTATAAAAATTATAGTACTGTGTATATCATAGAATCCTGACATCTGATGATAGATTTGATTGATTGATTGATTGTTGGTGTTTTAACGCTACTTTTAAGCGCCACATTTGGGCTATTTCGTGGTGGCCAGTTTTTATTGGTGGAGGAAACCGGAGTGCCCTGAGTAAACCACGACCTTCGATAGGAAAACTGACAATCCTAGTCAATTAAGATTGGAGTCGAGTGCACCCGCATGAGGGGGGTTAGAACTCACAAACTCAGTGTTGACTGACTAGTGATTACAGTACTACTTAGACCACTCAGCCACCGAGGCCTCTTGATAGATTTTTGCTTGCAACCATATTCTAAACACAAAGTGTATAACAACCAAAACCATGCATATGAACACCAATTTACATGTTAATGTACAATTCTACTTTAATGTATTGAAAGGAATGTCAAGTGTTGAACCTATAATGGCTCCTATGGAACTTCAGTGCTGTCTGACACCTGAGATACATGAATTCAATACCTATAACAATTCTTTTAAAAGCTCTTAGGTAGAATTCAAACTGGACTGATTACTGTAAATTCATTATTATTTGTGAAATACCAATTTTTGTGTTTTCATGTGTTCAGTTGAACCACAAATTTTAATGGTCAACAAAGTACAAATTTTCTATAGGGTTGTATGCAGACTTTGGCAAAACCATGAAATCAAAAATCCACGAAAATATAAATTTTCCTCAATCTTCTGCAGTAGTTAATAGAAAACTAGACTAATTTTTTGGTAGAAAATTGGTTAATAGATATATAATTTTTGGTGTAAACAGAATGCACATAAAAATCAAATCAGATGCATTCCATTATGCCACACTCATGATCATGATAGAACAATTAGTTTTATGCAATGTTCAGTTGGTATTGATAAAACACAACCATTAAAAACATATGGTCTAAATCTTATGCAATCAAATCAAGTGCTAATAATCTGTAAACAAATCAAAGTAATATATCTATTAATGAAAACAATTTTGTCTGATTGAGTCTGTGCAATTTATTTGGAAGTTATAAATAGATTTGTGATAATTACCTACATTGTTTGTATATTAAATTTTGATTTTAAGAACCTGATAAAGTAGTCTTCGTCTGATTTTAGACCACCCTATCTGAACCATGAAAGTGGTTTCATACCATTGGAGGTCTCACTTGAGGGGATTGTATCAATGCATTTACCCAGACTAAGTTAAAATTGTTTAAATGCTGCCTGAACTCCCGTTTTATTGTCGAGCTTGCAACATTTATGTCATGAAAGCGAGACATAGCATTCATAGATTCCGTCTTCAGCGTCAGCGGCATCAACATTTAGGTTCAGTCTGTGGTTCAAGTTTTTTTAGACATCAATAACTTTGTCAAACCTTCATGGAATTTTATGAAATTTGGACAGAAGTTTGTTTATGACTAAAAGACAGTATCCAGAGCAAAAATTTGAAAATATTCATTTTCATTTTTCCATATTTTACTGATAAATGGACTTAGTTTTTTTACAGTTAACATTCAGATTCAGTCTAAGGTTAAAGTTTTACAGTCATCAATAATTTTGTCCAACCTTCATGGAATTTTATGAAATTTGGACAGAAGCTTGTAAATGACCAAAATACAGCATTTATTTTCATTTTACCGTATTTTACTGATAAATGGACTTTTACAGTTAACATTTACAGACAGTCTGGGATCAAGTTTTTTTGACATGATAAGTTTGTAAACTTTCATGGATTGTTATGAAACTTGGACAGAAGCTTATCTTCAAGACCAAGAAATAGCATCTAAAAAAAAAATTTGATTTTTTTTTTAAATTCTGTATTTTACTGATAAATGGACTCACTTTTTAATATAAAAAAGAAGATGTGGTATGACTCTGCATCCAAGTCACAATGTGTAAAAAGTAAACAATTATAGGTCAAAGTATAGCCTTCAACACAGAGCCTTGGCTCACACCGAACAGCAAGCTATAACGGGCCCCAAAATGACTAGTGTAAAACAATTCAAACAGGAAAACCAACGGTCTAATCTATATAAAAAACGAGAAACAAGAAAGACTTAAGAACCATATCAACAAAACACAACCACTGAAACAGGTTTCTGACTTAGGACAGGTGTAAACAAATGCGGCAGGTTTGAACGTTTTAACAGGTGCCAACCTTCACTCTAACCTGAAATAGTAGTCTAAAATTACATCATAGAAAGACACACTATAAAATATCAATTGAAATAGTTTAACTCAATCAAAAAGACATATTAACAAAAACAAGTAAACATACACTGAACGAATGAATCAACATTACACTTTTACACTGACAGCAGCAATCGTAGGAGAGACACAGGGTTCCGTGGAACCCATTACGATTTTTTTTCAAAATAAGACCATTCTGAAACAAATGTTTATGCTAATTCATACCTTTTATTTTAATGTTGTGAGTAGATAGTTTCCATTTTAATTTTTAAAATGATTATTATTCTAACCACATGTATGATTTGTCTATAAAACTGGAACCCCTCTTTTTAAAATAAACTGTTGTAAAAATATATGTCACAGTTACTGTACATGGAATGGACTGTTTCAATTCCAGATCTGGATATAATTGTGGTGAAAAAATCTTGTGATGAATACATATTTGATGTGGATATACCACATTGGTACTGGGCCATAGTAGCAAGGTGGGATTGGGTCCATAACCCCTTAAAATTCAATTAACACTACTAGATGCATGGAAATTGATAGAACTTCCTATGATCCCCCTCCACACAATAATGACAAAAAATCTTAGAAGATGAAAAATCCCATTTAATTGAGATTATTTTGAATGTGGAATCATAGCAGGATCATTCCTATCCCTTAGAGGGATTACTCAGTCAATGATAAGTGTGTCATCAACCTAGAATTTTTCCACATTTCTTTGCATACATGTATGACTGGTATTTCCAGAAAAAAGTATGTGATCAATCACATGATGAAAATTTAGTAAGAACAGGGTAAATAGCACAAATTACGTTGAAGGCTGTACAGTGATGTATAATTGTGTAAATTTTCGTCATTTTTCAACTCTGGTGGATAGTTGTCTCATTTGCAATCGATCATACCACATCTGCTTATTTTTATATTGAACACAAGATCTAGAGGTATTTTACAGTATTTGAACTCTGGTGGAAAGTTGTCTCATTGGCAATCAATCCTAACACATCTCCTTATTTTTATGTTAAACACAAGATCTAGAGGTATTATACAGTATTTGAACTCTGGTGGATA